CGATTTTCTAAAATAAAATCGAATCCAAATATAACTTTCTTGCCTGCTCCAAGGCTATTATGAAAAGTATATTACAGAAAATAACTTTGAAAAACAAGGTGTCGTATCTCTCTCAGATAAAAGAAACATGAAGAACATCTCTCACGCAGGATATTGGTAGAGACCATTTTTGATCATCGATTAATTAAAAATGATTACCATCGATTAATTTTATATATATATATATATATATATATATGTATATATATATATATATATATATATATATATATATTATGGCGGCTTTATAACAATGTTCTGTTTTATTATGTCGCAGTGCTGCTGATTTGCATCCAAATCAATGAAAAGGGTCGAGAAAACAGGAGTTTCTGTATCCGATGCCAAAGATTATTAACATTTAATGGAGTGTCGCCAACAAAATTCTTTATTTCAACTAATTGTTGTTTAATTTCCTTGCTCACAATGTCACAGTGATCATATATGATTTAACAACATGAATGTTTACAGTCAGATATTCAAAGAATTATCTGGTCAATTGTCAGGAAGGCATTAATAATATTGGGTGAGAGATTGACAAGTTACTCAACTGTGTGGTATCTTGAAGTAAGCTATCTTGAAGTAAGTCCAGTAAGTTTTGAAATATTGCAGAAATGTATATTGTTTATCAAAGATAACAATGTCAAATATTAAATTATGCTATTTTTACATCAATGTTGTGCAATAATAAAATTTGGTAATAAAAATAAATTCGATAATTTTAACATTTTGATTAAATAAAAAGAAATAAATGTGAAATAAATACTTCATTATTTTTTTAAGAAGAAAGATATATTATAATAATATATTATTTAAATAATATATTATTTAAAGAGAGATATATATAATTATTTTATATTTAAGAAGAGAGATATAATTATTTTAGCGTCATATTCTTATTGTAGCTTATAATATTAATCGAGAATATGTGGTATAAAATATCTTTGATAGACATTAGAATATATGATAAATATATAAAAGTATTTATGTTATGCAATTACACTCTTTGTAAATTTCATTAAAATATTATATAAAACATACATTTTACAGTACACAACATGCACACAACATGCATTTTACTGTAAAGTAGGACAAAAATCAAATTTTTTGGATTTAAGAACTGTACAATGATATATATTTACAATGATATATATTACTTATATATAATGTAAATAATATAAATATTATATACTATAAACGCACATTAACATACAAATTTATATCACGTGCATGCGTACAACGTTATATAATATCATACACAAAAAAGAAACATTATTTATTTATATGCTAACATGTAAGATGGTATTTTCGACTTTTGTTAGAGATATAAATGTCACAAGTATTGTTATTAACCATTATGACAAAATTAATTAATAACAATTATAACAAAATTGTCATCACAGTTCATTTCATATATTCGTTTTTCAAGACTATAAAACCAAATTTAACTTGCAATTATCAGCAGTCAGTATTTTTTCAAAGAGTCAGTATTTTTGTTACGTTTTCCTTCGATCGATTTAATATAATAAGTCACATATTAAAAAGTTCGTCGACACGAAACAAGAAATAATTTAACTTAGGCATGATTATAATTTATAATAGAATGGAATTTTTAAGTTTTTCGATTTGTTTTACTTAACAAAAAATGCAAGTAATCTTAAATAAAATATAAATCTGTCAAAAATTCATTTAAAAAAGCTATATATTATAATCTGTAATATTTCCAAGAAAATTATCAATCTTTATGGAAGACTTACGGAAGTCTCAGAGACAATAGCTGTGCGAAAAATGTAGACCTTTTGTAATTCATGAACAGTAACAGAAATAATTCGAGAAGAATATCATCCCCTCTTATGATCTTGTGAAAGTCAATATGACTATAAAATGCACCCCTTCATTATCTTGATATGGTTGATCGCATAACTATTTCTTGGGAGGAAAACTATGAAACGGAGCAGTTGTATTTAACTTCTCGTGCATGTATATCTTTGCGCAATCCTTTCAGTAACTACTAAGCTTCCGCGTTTTAACGATGTATAAAGATCCTACGCAAGATTCAAACATTGTCTATTTATGATAATGAGAAAGATATGCATATCAGCCTCCAGCTAAATCGCTGGATATTAAAATCGATTGGAGCCTGGCCAAAATCAGCAAAAACCTTATTGATAGAAAGATGCGTTTATTTGCTACTAAACGTGATTTGCAGTAGTCTTATTGGTTTCTTGTCCATACCCTGCGCTGTTTATATGTTGCTGTAAGTTGATGACGCGTATCATATCGTGAAGATCTTCGGACACCTAAATTTCTGTCTGATAGCCATTGTTAAGTACTTTTTGCTAATCCTTCGTGAGGATGATATCTGCAGAGGTATCGAGCATATCAAGAACGATTAGATGAATACTCGATATTATGACGAACGGATGATTATGATTAGGAGTGCAAAATTCAGTCATCGTCTCGTAGTGATTTGCTCATTCTTCATGTATGGCGGATGCTGTATTTTATTACCTCGCCGTGCCATTCATTAATGGCAAGATCACGGAGGATGACGAAATTTAACGTATCGGCCTCTGGTGTACCCAGTTGCCAAAGTAATTGTCGATGTGCGATACAATCCCGTCAGTGAAATTTTCTTCTAGATGCAATGTTTGTCGGGTTTTGTTACGCATTCTATCATTGCTGGTGCATGCAGCGTAGCGCCCGTATTCGTTATGCATATTTATGGCCGCTTGGAGATTCTAGTGCAATCAAGCATTTGGTGAACGGCAGAGAAGATTTTTACGGAATTGTGGACGAGAGATTGTCGATAATTGTGCAGCAGCATATTGGAATCTTAAAGTAAGTTATTTCGTGAATAGTTCTCTTATTTCTTGAGAACGAAAAGCAGCGTGATAATTACACACACGACATCGAATAAATTTTGCATTTTGCTTTGCACCTATGAATATAAACATTCGTATTGTATTTTTATTATATTTTCTGCTGTATATTTTTTCTCTCCAAAAGATATTATTAATATACATATAATAATTAGAAAAAAATATATTTAAAATACAGATAAATAATATTTATTCTAAATCTCTATAAATCTCATATATAAAGTATTTTATCCCATTATTTTATCAAAAATATATTTATATAAATAACTTTAAAAACTTTTATAAATATATTTTTATATTAAGTATTATGTTTTATATATTATATATTTCATATAAAATTATATATAATTAATTTATATCATATATACATTATATTATATATATACATATAAGTATATGTATATATATATAATATATGTATATATATGTATATATATGTATATATATATATATATATATATTATATTTTATATTATATTATGTTTTATATTATATTTGTCTAATTCAAAAATATGAATCATGGATGATTTCACTGGCCAAACGTTAATAATTAAATTATTAATTAACATTTTATTTAAAAAATCATATTTTTATCGTTTTACACGATAATCGATATCTTGCAGTTTTGTATCGCTAATGAATAAAACACTGCGTGAAATATCTATCGTGGAAATAACGGAATTAAACATGTGCTTTCTAGGATATTACACTATTACGGTATGCATACCACAAAGCGGACCATCTATTTCACGTAATAACAGTTTACAATAACAGATACAACATATTTAAATACAAAAATCTTTATGTTGCAGGAATGGGATAGTAGTAGATCTGCACGTTATATAACATACATTGTTTTGCTTCTATCTCTTACATTCAATATTTTTATTTTTTGTTACATTGGCGAACTTATTGCCGGACAGATATAAATTTCATTCTCGAAGTATTTCTTTACATGTTTAATAATGACATAATGACGAATCACATAATTGTATATCTTCACAATAAATTAATCCAATAAAAGAAATATTAGAGTATTTATAAAATAATAACATTTGAAAAAATGTTTTTATTTTTTGAAGAATAAAACTTTATTGGCAAGCATAAATATGCTTATAGAAAAAATTTTATGTATCCACTTTTTTGAACTATTGAATTATTAAACTAATTGTAAAATCATATTTATAGAAGAAATTTTACTGATTTAAAAAAACAAAAAATCAATTCTGTGCAAACAGTGCAAGAAGATCGGTGAAGTCTCGTACATGATCGAATGGTATCGTCTGCCAGGAAAAGAGAGTCTCGCTCTTGTGTTAATCATCGCTGTCCAGATCGTCTATCAAATTTACTGCCGGAAATTACTTCGAGCTGTCTCTCAGTATTTCCGCTGACGTAAGTAGTATACAATATTTATTAAATTTATTCGTGAATATGTATGGCTTACATATTCATATATTTATCCAATTAATAGGTTGTTAGAACATCCGTTAGCTTGAACATGCTACGCACATTAACTTAATAAAATTAATTACATATATGTATAGAGAAATTATTGCGATTGTCAATTTAAGTTTAATGTCAATTTATTCTTATTGAAAAAAATATAATATATACCAGAAATTTTATATGTAAATTTATTTTCTTTTACATTTGTGTACTTCTTATAATTATATTATAGTTGTTATTTATAATTTAAAATTATAATTTAAATGAAACAGTATCGACGTAACAAATTTCTTATTAACAAGTAATAAATCATAATAATATATTTTACTTACATGACATCCTATTTACATAATAATATATAACATAAAACATATTATTCCTTCTCAATCGTAAGTTCAAACTTGGTAATTATCATATGGTGTATGACGATCTTTCTTTGCTCATCAATGGTGTATTCATCCGGAAGTTTGGTTCGTAATTTATTTTGTATTTTTGTCATATAGCTCTTTAATACGCGCAGCCGTTATGTGCACGCAAGCGCATTATTCTTACCGCAAAAAGAGACAGACCACCTATAATTACACATACCTGCTCAGTCGTGCTCGAGATTCTAGTCTTGCCTGACCATCTGTTATCCGTAAACCCGAAATAACGTATGACGAAATTAATGAAAATTCTTAAGAGCTAAAAAAGACGTGGCGAACGCGAATTTCGTGATCAAATTCATTAGGTATAAAATTTTAATTTAAGAAACATTAATTAAAATACCAAATTATTAAAATACCATCAGAAATGAAGTTAATCACGGGACAATCGTCGACGACAATTCGAGCAAACGAAAATCATTTCAACTACGCGGTGCAAGTGACTCGCGTTATTCTGCGAATGATCGGTGCATGGCCAATCCCGAAATTCGCATCCAACGCGAAAAAAATTGCGATCCGTTTGCAAAACGCTTTTTGCTATTTTTTATTTGCATTTATTCTCGTGCCTGGTCTTTTATTAGTATTTTTGAAAGAACGTGACTTCAAACGGAGGGTTAAGTTAATAGGACCTCTTCTAAACTGTTGGATGGGTTGCATGAAGTACAGTTTATTCATTTATCACGCAAAAGAAATCCAATCGTGCCTGGAACAGGTACAGCAGGATTGGCAGAGTACCGTCAATTGGAACGATCAAAAAGCGATGCTATCCAAAGCGAGAATAGGCCGAAAATTTGCAATCTTCTCCGCTGTTTTCGTGTACATCGGCGGCCTATCTTTTCGTACCATCGTGCCGCTCTCGAAAGGACGAATGTTAACACCGATGAATACTACGGTAAGAGCCCTCTCATGCCCCAGTTACTTTGTCAAGTTCGACGAGCAAGCCTCACCGGCGTACGAGATCGTATTTACCTTGCAATTCTTCGCGGGGTTGCTCACCTATTCGGTGACATGCGGCGCGGCCGGACTAGCGGCATTTTTTATCATGCATGTTTGCGGACAGCTGAGCGTCTTAATCGCCAAACTGCAGCATTTTACTGACATGACGGAGCCTGAGGATCGAACTGTGGCGACTTTCCTGGCCAATATTGTGGAACATCATATAAAAGTAAAAAAGTGAGCCTATAAAAATAATTAAATGAAGGAGAGAAGTTTTCATAAATAAATTTTTTTTCAATTTTTATTACAAGTGAAAAATAATCATAAAATATAATTGATATAACACAATTTTTTTATGTGTTATGACTATTTTTTGTATAACTGTTTTATAATTTTCTTCAAGTTATAATATTATATTTATTATAATTATTATGAAAAATATTGTGGAAAAAATTTTAATATTGCAAATTAGATAAGCTATAATGATTTTTTATTTCTAATAATTAATTCTTAGAATTATAGTAATAGTGTTCTAAATGAAAAATTGTAAAAAAATATTATCAATTATTATCTCAATTATTAATTAAATAAATTGTTCACTTATAGTTTTTTGAAACAAGTAGAGGAAGCTATGCAATTCATATGGTTAGTGGAACTAGTAGGATCTACTGTACTCTTATGTTTCGTAGAATATTACGTTATTATGGTAATCATAAAAAATACTTTCCACGAGATTTTGCATAATCAATTTGATGTTGATTAAATTAAATTAAATTAAACAGAAATTTATAGCTAATATAATATTCATTATCAAATCATTATAGTTTATTATTATGATTATAAATTTATATAATAAAATTCATTATTTATATAATATTAACTGTATAGGAATGGGGAAATAGCGATTCTACAGCCATGTTAACTATGTTTACTCATTTTGTGATGCTTATATCTTTCATTATTTCCATTTTTACTAATTGTTATGTCGGTCAACTTTTGACAGATCAGGTATCGCAATATTTACATTATTTTTGTTGTAAAAATTAAACATCAACGTTGTCAAGCACTGTCTAAAAATATATAATCAATAATTGTAAAAGAGCATCAAGTTTGGATTGAAAACATCTACGATAAATTGGTACCGTCTTTCGTATAAAAGGGCTCGTTCTTTAATTCTGATAATAGCAATTTCTAATATTCCGGCAAAAATCTCTGCAGGTAGAATGATAGAAATGTCTCTATCCACATTCAGTAACGTGAGTATAAAACAGAAAAAAATTTGACATTTTTGTTTGCCAACCGTAAATCACGAAATCTGTTTTGTTTCTTTATAGATTATCACAACATCGATGACATACTTTAATCTGCTTCGAAAATTTATCACGTGATTTATTTTCGATAAACTTTCTATGACTTAGATGCATTATGAGATATTTAAACATTTAATTTGTAATTGTAATTATTTTTGACACAAATAGAAAGACAAGATTTGCCAACGAATATTCTTTTCTTTTTTTTCATTTTATTTTTCCACTTTTATTAATGATAATTTCCATAAGAAATCAGTTGCAAAGTCTATTAATTAATTTACTAAAGTCTAATTTTATATATTTAGATATGACATGACTTGATCTCTTTCTTAACCATTTACGAAAATAACATTAAATTTAACGGGTGTAAAATTGTAAGATTTATAATAATATTATATATAAATATATATATATATATATATATATATATATTTTGAATATACATATCATATATTTGCTGATATATAAAATGTAGTATCGAAAACAGATAATATAACATTTCCACGTCTGGCAAAGCTAATATCAAAAATATTAACTCGTTCGACAAAAAAATTGATTAATCTAAACTTTATTACGGTTAAATTAATTTATCAAATTAATTATCTGAAAAACTACATTTAAAAGAAAACAAATTGTATTGCATTTTTATAATATATTGTAGTAACTTATACAATATATTGTAAAATTTAGCATGCAACAAGTTAAAGAAATTATACTATTTATATTATTTTCCACTTTCCCTTTCTCTCGCATGTTCACACTGACGTAATTTGTATTTTATTAAAAAACACAACTAGTAGCAATCATTATCTTTCGTAAAACACGAAATACAATTTTTGCAAAATTATTATAGATATTCATAAGTAAGATAATAATTATAATATTTAATTTTGTTGACTTTTGACTAATTAATTGAAAATTATATACCGGTAAAGAATCTACGATTAACATTCATATATTTTTTAGATTTTATAGTTATACAGCTTTTATCCCTCGTTATATTTCTCCTACATTATACATATTCTCTAAAACACAAAGTTATAAATCACTTTCTCATAAAAAGTATCAATTATTTTTCACGTTTACGATTGAATATGTAATTTGATGTAAATCGTTTTGCGTATTTCTTTTTCAAGATTGTGGACAGCTTAACTTGCAGCTACACTCAACGCACAATGTATCTTTTCAAAGATATTTCGCTTTTCCAATCAGTTTAACATAGTTAATCGCATTTTTTAAAAACTCATCTATGAGAAATAAATATAATTTTATTCTATTATAAATCATATAATCATATGAAGTTTTAATTTCGATATACTTGCATGATTATGTGATTTATAACATAATAAAATTATTAAGCATATTATTATTTTTATAATTAACAGAAAATTCATCAATCTTAAATAAAATAGAAAAATCTATCTTAAATATAAAAATTAAAATTAATAAAACAAAAATATGACATTTTATTGTTAATAAAATATATAATTTTTTTAAGATTATATAACTTCTTAAGCTTTCATCGTCTTACCGAAACATTTCCAAGAATTATTTAATAGATACAACAACGTGTATAACAGATTGTAGAAAAAATAAAATGTGTAAATACATAAATGTAAGATAGAAAGAATAAAATACGAATGTTTGAATATTTTGTATTAAAAAATTCGCATATTTTTCTTTTTATTCTGTATTTATACATTACAATTAACGCAGATTTAAGAAAGACTTATTCTATTTTTATACTATTTCATATACGCGCGAATTATATAAATACATATTATCTTTACCTTGTGTATATATGTAAATATTATAATCTATGTTACTTTAAGGAAAAAAATCTTTAAGGAAAAAAATCTTCAGTCTTTATGGAAAGGAAGGCACCCAAAATTTCGTATATCTAATTCATGAACAGTAGCAGAAATAGTTCGAGAGAAATAGTCTTTCTTCATCTTAAATCAATATGACTATAAAATGCACTCTTTATTGTCTTAATATAGCTGATAGCACAACAACTTATTTCTTGAAAGGGAAACCTCACGAAACGACGCAGTCATACTTTACTTCCTGCGCTTGTATTTTTGCACAATCCTTTCAAGCGAGATCCTGCGCTTTAATAATGTACAGAATCCTTCACATCTAGTACCGTTTATAATATTAACTAACGCAGACATAAATTTCCAAATCTTTTATTCTCATTTATACCAGAAATTTTATATATAAATTTATTTTTTTTACACTTGTATACTTCTTATAATTATATTAGAGTTGTTATTTATAACCTAAAGTTATAATTTAAATGAAACAGTATCGACGTCACAAATTTCTTATTAACATATTACTCATAATATTTTACTTTCATGACATCCTGTTTACATAATAATATGTAGCACAAAACATATTCCTATTCAATCATAAGTTTAAACTTGATAATTATTAGTATAGTATGACGATTTTTTCTGTGTTCATTAATAGATATTCATCCAGAAGTTTGTTTCGTAATCTTTTTCTCATATATTCTCCCTTTATTACGCGCAGCCGTTTCGTGCACGCAAGCGCATTGTTCTTACTCCAGAAAGAGAGAGAGACCATCTATAATTACAAACACCTATTTAGTCATGCTCGAGCTTCTAGTTTCGCCTGATCATCTGTTATCCGTAAACCCGAAATAACGTATGACAAAATTAATAAAAATTCTTAACAGCAAAAGAAGAGACGTGGCGACCACGAATTTTGTGATCAAATTTATTACGCATACAATTTTAATTTAAGAAATATTAATTAAAATATCAAATAATTAAAATATCAAATTATTAAAATATCATCAAAAATGAAGCTAATCACGGAACGCTCGTCGAAAACAATTCAAGAGAACGAAAATCATTTCAATTATGCAGTGCAAGTGACTCGCGTTATTCTAAGGATGATCGGTGCATGGCCGATCCCGAAATTCGCATCCAACGCGAAAAAAATTGTGATTCGATTGCAGAACGTTATTTGCTATTTTTTATTTGCGTTTATTCTCGTGCCTGGTCTTTTATTAGTATTTCTGAAAGAACGCGATGTCAAACGGAGGGTCAGGTTAATGGGACCCCTTCTAAACTGTTGGATGGGTTGCATAAAGTACAGTCTATTCATTTATCACGCGAAAGAAATCCAATCGTGCCTAGAACAGGCACAACAGGATTGGCAGAGCACCGTCAATTGGAATGATCGAAAAGCGATGCTATCCAAAGCGAGAATAGGCCGACAGTTCGCCATCTTCTCCGCTGCTTTCATGTACATCGGCGGGCTATCATACCGTACCATCGTGCCACTCTCGAAAGGACGAATGTTAACACCGATGAATACTACGGTAAGAGCTCTCTCGTGCCCCAGTTACTTTGTCAAGTTCGATGAGCAAACCTCGCCGACGTACGAAATCGTATTTACCCTGCAATTCTTCGCGGGAATGCTCACCTATTCGGTGACATGTGGCGCGGCCGGATTAGCTGCATTTTTTATCATGCATGTTTGCGGACAGTTGAGTGTCTTGATCGGCAAACTGCAGCAACTTGATGACATGACGGAGCCTGAGGATCGAACTGTTGCGACTTTATTGGCCAATATTGTGGAACATCAAATAAAAGTAAAAAAGTGAGCCTATAAAAATGATTATAAATGAAGGAGAGAAATTTTTATAAATAATATTTGTTTAAATTTTTGTTATAAATGAAAGATAATCATAAAATATAATTGATATAAAACAAAAAGTCATAAAATATAATTGATATAAAACAATATTTTTTTATGAGTTATGACTATTTTTCAGTGTATAATATTGTATAATTCTTTTCAAATTAGAATTATTATGAAAAATATTGTGGAAAAAATTTCAATATTGCAAATTAGATAAGAATATAATGAATTTTTATTTCTAACATTATTAGTTATCATTTAGAATTGTAATAGTTCTGAGTGAAAAATTGCTTAAAAATATTATCAATTATTAATTAGATAAATCATTAATTTACAGTTTTTTGAAACAAGTAGAGGAAGCTATGCAATTCATATGGTTAGTGGAAATAGTAGGATCTACTATTCTCTTATGTCTCGTCGGATATTACGTTATTATGGTAATCATGAAAAATACTTTGCAGGAGATAATCAATTGCATAATCAATTTAATGTTGATAATTATCAAACAAAAATTTGTAGCTAATATAATATACATTATTAAATCGTTATAATTTATTATTATAATTAAATAAAATTATATAATAAAATTCATTTATAATATTAACTGTATAGGAATGGGAAAGTAGCGATTCTACAGCTGTGTTAACTATGTTTGTAATGTTTATATCTTTCACTATTTCCATTTTTACTAATTGTTATATCGGTCAACTTTTGACAGATCAGGTATCGTAATATTTGCATTATTTTTGCTGTGAAAATAAAAACACCAACGTTGTCAAGTACTATCTAAAAATATATAATCGATAACTATACAGAGCATCAATGTTGGATTGATAACATCTACGATAAATTGGCACCGTCTTTCGTATAAAAGGGCTCGTTCTTTAATTCTGATAATGGCAATTTCTAATATTCCGGCAAAAATCTCTGCTGGTAGAATGATGGAGATGTCTCTACCCACATTCAGTAACGTGAGTATAAAACAATGTAAAAGTGTGTCGTTCTTGTTTGTTAACTATAAATCACAAAATCTGTTTCGTTTTTCATAGATTATCAGAACATCGATGACGTACTTTAATCTGCTTCGAAAATTTGTCACGTGATTTCATATTGTTCAATGAACCTTCCATGACTTAGGAGATACTTAAACATTTAATCTGTAATTGTAATTATTTTTGACACAAATGGACAAGGTTTATCAAGAAATATTTCTCTTTTTTTTATTTCATTTTTCCACTTTTATCAATGATAATTTTCATAAGAAATCAGTTGCAAAGTCTTCTAATTAATTTACTTACTAAAATATAATTGTAGATATTTAAATTGGACATGATTTGACCCCTTACTTCCTTAACAATTCAAATGATGACATTATCATTAAACATTCAATTTAACTGGTATTAATGCATTTGTAAGGTATAATCTATGATCTAATACAATGTATTACTTTCGTAAATCAAAGAATACTTTCGTCTCTGTGAATCGATTTTATAATTACTTGTGGCAAAAAATCGCACACGAAACCCCTTAGTACCGAAGTTCTAACTACACCGAATCACCGTGGTTGCGAAGGTGATTCACTCACGCAAACGCAAAAATGTACATATAATGTAATCGATAAGTTTCGTTATAGTTTCTGTCAGTCGTGATCGCAAAATCTTTTCGCGAACAAATATCAGAAAAGGATCCGTTTCTTTTGTCACCAGTCTATATCATGTTTGAACCCGCAGATTTACACAATGCTAAATATGAGGACGACATAAGATATACCGTGCAAGTGCATAGGCTGATCTTAGGATTGATTGGCGTGTGGCCTACTTTGGAAAACCTCGTCTTCAAAAAAGATTTTTAAAAGGATTTCTCCGAGCAGTGTGTTGCTTACTGTCCTTTAATCTAATACCATGGGCTTTGTACATGTTTCTAATCTTTGTTACGTTCAAGAGCAGACTGAAGATGACCGGCACACATTGTTTTTATATTATGGTGCCCACTATGTATTGCACCCTTATATTAAGGGAAGATAGCATCAGAAAATGCGTGAAACACATGGAGAAGGACTGACAAAATGTCAAAAATGAGAACGATCGTAAAATTATGCTGGATCGAGCGAAAGCCGGTTGTTTTATTTTGATTTGCACCACTCTATTTCTCCAACGGCTTTACTTATCGTCTGATACAGCCGATATTTCGCAACAAAATCATCGTCAATAGGATGTCACTATCAGACCGCTGGTACACGGTCATTATCATATCTTCTTCAATCTGCAGCACAGATCCCGCTTACGAAATCATGTTCTCGATATATTTACTGATCTTCGTATATATCATTATAGCGAATGTTTGTGGCGTCACCGCATTGTTTACCATACACGCTTGCGGGCAACTCGAGATGCTGGCCACTTGGCTTTAAAATCTACCAAAGGAGGCTCAGTGGTCGTAGAGTCATGTCACTGCTCGAAGATTGGCAACGATTATCCTGCATCACATAAGGATACGTAGGTAAGCAACTCAAATTATTCTGTATTCTTAATTTTTGATTTGCTATTAATTAATTTTTAATAACCGATTTAATTTTTTTGCATTGATTTGCGACGATTTTTCCTTTTCTTAAGGATTAAAATTAATTATTTTATGCTTTTATGAATTATTTTATGCTTTTAGCTCTGCAAGTGTTTATTTGTTAAATATTCAACTTATTGTCAAAAAAACTATCACTTATCTATTGGATTAATCTTATAATTCAAGACATTTATAATAAAAATATTTTATTAACTTGAAAAGAATATCTTTAACAAAGATGTAATTTTAAAAATTATCCGATGCATTGTATTACATTGGGGAAATTTTAAATAATCAGGTAAGGTACACAGATAACAAAAATTAATGTATATAGATATAATATAGATACAACGTCAAATATATTTATAATCAAAGAAAAAATATATTAAAATAAAAAATAACAAAGAATACGCATAGTTTGAAAAAAATTATTATAATGAAACAAGAAACTAATAACATTAAACTAATTGTAAAATCGTATTTATAGAAGAAATTTTATTGATTTAAAAAAATAAAAAATCAATTCTATGCAAACAGTGCAAGAAGATCGGTGAAGTCTCGTACATGATCGAATGGTATCGTCTGCCAGAAAAAAAGTCTCGCTCTTGTGTTAATCATCGCTATCCAGATCGTCTATTAAATTTACTGCCGGAAATTACTTCGAGTTGTCTCTCAGTTCTTTTGCTGACGTAAGTAGTATACAATGTCAATATTTATTAAATTTATTCGTGAATATGTATGGCTTACATATTCATATATTGATCCAATCAATAGGTTGTTAAAATATCCGTTAGCTACTTGAACATGCTACGCACATTAACTTAATAATATTTATTGCATATATTTATGTGTAGAGAAATTATTGCAATTGTCGATTTAAGTTTAATGTCAATTCTTATTGGAAAAAAATAAAATATATAAAAATGCCAATTTATATATATATATATATATATATATATATATATATAATATAATATAAATAAAAAACTTACGTATCTGCATATATTAAAAAATATTCGCTTAAAAAATCTAATGCACTTTTTTAGTTATAAAAAGGATTTTTCAAATTTTTGATCAATTTTATTTAATTTTATACAATAAAAATGGTTCGCGACAAAGAGACTTTGATGAAAATAGATTTGATATCTCCTTATATTAAATCTATTTTCATCAAAGTGTCTTTGTCGCTAACCATTTTTATTGCATGGTATAAAATTAAATAAAATTAATTAAAAATTTGAAAAATCCTTCAAAGATTAAGGAAATAAGATTTACATCATTTACAATACTTGTATTGCAGAACGTAAAACTTGCATATATTCATCGTTTTTTCCCCTTTTCATCCGGAAAATCTCAAGCTCTTCCTTCTCTTAGACTAACTATATTTTTTGAAAAAACTGCGTAAGCTAAAAAAAGCGAATTCTGTTTTTCCATTGTCGCTCAATAGTTCGCGAACGTCGGAGTCACGATCATGTCGCGTTTCTTCCTCGTGTTCCCAACGCACAACATATATAAGCAGGACTGCGAGTACAGTATTCAACTAAATTGTTGATTCTCAAACCGATTGATAGCTGACAAACTACTGTCGCACAGCATCCAGGTTGTCCGTCATTCTTTGATTCTCTTTACAATAGTGCTCTGTGTACTGTATATTTTGTTCGAACCGGACATGCATTTGAAACTAAAAGCTTTCGGTTCAATGATACACTGGCGGATCGATGATGCGAATTATTGTTCATTACTGTTTCGTAGCCACGAGATACGCAAATGCATGAATCACATGCGCGTCGATTGGTAAGTCGTAAAAAACATATATGTTCGCGAAGTGATGCTGAGGAACGCCAAGTTTGATCGATTCGTCCGGTTTCTATGCGGTTTACATGCAGGGTGGCGTCTGTTCTAAGCATCATCATTGCTCTGACAGATCATTCGTCGTATTATATCAATAATATCATACAATACCATAACGATGCGTTAGCTGCCGTGTCCATTCTATACGGAACTAGTACAGTCCAGCGAACGAGATTGTAGTCGGTCTCCATCTACTATCAACTTCATATAATACCATCACGGTTGATGTAAAAAATCCTATCCGAATTCGAAAGTCCTCACGTCTAGTACCGTTTGTATTAATAATATTAATAATATTAATAAATGCAAGCACAAACATTTCCAAATATTTTATTCTCATTTATACCAGAAATTTTATACGTAAATTTATTTTCTTTTACATTTGTGTACTTCTTATAATTATATTATAGTTGTTATTTATAATTTAAAATTATAACTTAAATAAAACAGTATCGACGTAACAAATTTCTTATTAACAAGTAATAAATCATAATAATATATTTTACTTCCATGACATCCTATTTACATAATAATATATAACACAAAACACATATTATTCCTTTTCAATCGTAAGTTTAAACTTGGCAATTACCATATGGTGTATGACGGTCTTTTCTTTGCTCATCATTGGTGTATTCATCCCAAAGTTTGGTTCATAATTTATTTTGTATTTTTGTCATTATAGCCCTTTATTACGCGCAGCCGTTTTGTGCACGCAAGCGCATCATTCTTACCGCAGAAAGAGAGAGACCACCTATAATTACACATACCTGCTCAGTCGTGTTCGAGCTTCTAGTCTTGTCTGACCATCTGTTATAAACCCGAAATAACGTATGACAAAATTAATAAAAATTCTTAACAGCAAAAGAAGAGACGTGGTGACTGCGAATTTTATGCTCAAATTTATTACGTAAATTTAATATCAATTTAATACCAATTTTAATTTAAGAAACATTAATTAAAGTACCAAATTATTAAAATACCATCAAAAATGAAGCTAATCACGGAACGCTCGTCGAAGACAATTCAAGAAAGCGAAAATCATTTCAATTATGCAGTGCAAGTGACTCGCGTTATTCTACGGATGATCGGTGTATGGCCGATCCCGAAATTCGCATCCAACGCGGAAAAAATTGCGATTCGATTGCAGAATGTTATTTGCTATTTTTTATTTGCGTTTATTATCGTGCCTGGTCTTTTATTAATATTTCTGAAAGAACGCGATGTTAAACGGAAGGTCAGGTTAATAGGACCCCTTCTGAACTGTTGGATGGGTTGCATGAAGTACAGTCTATTCATTTATCACGCGAAAAAAATTCAATCGTGCCTAGAACAGATACAACAGGATTGGCAGAGCACCGTCAATTGGAATGATCGACAAGCGATGCTATCCAAGGCGAGAATAGGCCGAAAGTTCGCCATCTTCTCCGCTGCCTTCATGTACATCGGCGGGCTATCTTACCGTAGCATCGTACCACTCTCGAAAGGACGAATGTTAACACCGATGAATACTACGGTAAGAGTTCTCTCGTGCCCCAGTTACTTTGTCAAATTCGACGAACAAGCCTCGCCGGCGTATGAGATCGTATTTACCCTGCAATTCTTCGCGGGGTTTCTCACCTATTCGATGACATGCGGCGTGGCCGGATTAGCGGCATTTTTTATTATGCATGTTTGCGGACAGCTGAGTGTCTTGATCGGCAAACTGCAGCAACTTAATGACATGGCGGAGCCCGAGGATCGAACTATTGCGACTTTGTTGGCCAATATTGTGGAACATCAAATAAAAGTAAAAAAGTGAGACTATAAAAATGATTAAATGAAGCAGAGAAATTTTTATAAATAATATTTTTTTTAATTTTTCTTACAAATGAGAGATAATCATAAAATATTATTATATATATAATTTATATAAAACACAAAGTCATAAAATGTAATTGATACAAAACAATATTTTTTTATGAGCTATTTTTCAGTGTATAACAATTGTATAATTGTCTTCAAATTATAATTATTATAAAAAATATTGCGGAAAAAAAATTTTAATATTGCAAATTAGATAAGAATATAATGAATTTTTATTTCTAACATTATTAGTTATCTCTTAAAATTGTAATAGTGTTCTGAAAAATTGCTTAAAAATATTATTAATTATAAACTAGATAAATCATTCATTTACAGTTTTTTGAAACAAGTAGAGGGAGCTATGCAATTCATATGGTTAATGGAAATAGTAGGATCTACTATTCTCTTATGTCTCGTCGGATATTATGTTATTATGGTAATCATGAAAAATACTTTCCATGAGATAATTAATTGTATGTTGATAATTATCAAACAAAAATTTGTAGCTAATATAATATACATTATTAAATCGTTATGATTTATTATTATAATTTAATAAAATTATATAATAATTATATAATAAAATTATATAATAATAAAATTATGTAATAATAAAATTTATTGATATTAACTGTATAGGACTGGGAAAGTAGTGATTCTACAGCTATGTTAACTATGTTTGTGGTGCTCATATCTTTTACTATTTCCATTTTTACTAATTGTTATGTTGGTCAACTTTTGACAGATCAGGTATTGTAATATTTGCATTATTTTTGCTGTGAAAATTAGAACACCAACGTTGTCAGATATACTGTCTAAATATATATAATCCATAACTATACAGAGCATCAAGGTTGGATTGATAACATCTACGATAAATTGGTATTGTCTTTCGTATAGAAGGGCTCGTTCTTTAATCCTGATAATGGCAATTTCTAATATTCCGATAAAAATCTCTGCAGGTGGAATGATGGAAATGTCTCTACCCACATTCAGTAACGTGAATATAAAGCAATGTAAAAGTTTGTCGTTTCTGTTTGTCAACCATAAATCACGAAATCTGTTTCGTTATTTCATAGATTATCAAAACATCGATGGCGTACTTTAATCTGCTTCGAAAATTTGTCACGTGATTTCATATTGTTCAATGACTTAGGTACAATATGAAATACTTAAATATTTAATCTGTAATTGTAATTATTTTTGACACAAATGGACTAGGTTTGCCAACAAATATTTCTCTTTGTTTCATTTCATTTTTCTACTTTTATCAATAATAATTTTCATAAGAAATCAGATGCAAAGCCTTCTAATTAATTTACTTACTAAAATCTAATTGTAGATATTGAAATTGGACATGATTAGACCCCTTACTTCCTTAACAATTCACAAATGATGACATTATCATTAAACATTCAATTTAACGGGTATTAATCTATTTGTAAGGTATAATCTATGATCTAATACAATGTATTACTTTCGTAAACCAAAGAATACTTTCGTCTCTGTGAATCGATTTTATAATTACTTGTGGCAAAAAATCGCACACGCAACCCCTTAGTACCGAAGTTCTAACTACACCGAACCACCGTGGTTGCGAAGGTGATTCACTCACGCAGACGCAAAAGTGTACATATAATGTAGTCGATAAGTTTCGTTATAGTTTTGTCTGTCAGTCGTGATCGCGCAATCTTCTCGCGAACAAATATCAGAAGAGGATCCGTTTCTTTTGTCGCCAGTCTATATCATGTTCGAATCCGCAGATTTACACAACGCTAAATATGAGGACGACATAAGATATACCGTGCAAGTGCATAGGCTAATCTTAGGATTGATCGGCGTGTGGCCTATTTTCAAAAAATCTCGTCTTCAAAAGAGATTTTTAAAAGGATTTGTCCGAGCAATGTGTTGCTTACTGCTGTCCTTCAATCTAATACCGTGGGCTTTGTACATGTTTCTGATCTTGGATACGTTCAAGAGCAGATTGAAGATGACCGGCGCGCTTTGTTTTTATATTATGGTGCCTACTATGTATTGCACCCTTATATTACGAGAAGATAGCATCAGAAAATGCATGAAACATATGGAGAAGGACTGGCAAAATGTGAAAGATGAGAACGATCGTAAAATTATGCTGGATCGGGCGAAAGCCGGACGTTTCATTTTGATTTGCGCTACGCTATTTCTATTCGCCAGCGGCTTTACTTATCGTCTAATACAGCCGATATTTCGCGGCAAGATCATCGTCAATGGGAACGTCACTATCAGGCCACTAGTTCAAGGCCATTATTATATCTTCTTCGATCCGCAGCGCAGTCCCGCTTACGAAATCGTGTTCTCGATACATTTACTGATCGGTATCTTCATATATATTATTATGGCGAGTGTTTGTGGCGTCACCGCATTGTTTACCATGCACGCTTGTGGACAACTCGAGATGCTAAGCACTTGGCTGGAAAATCTACTAAATGAGCCTCAGTGGTCGCAGAGTCATGTCATTGCTCGAAGATTGGCAGCGATCATCCTGCATCATATAAGGATACGTAGGTAAGCAACTCAAATTATTCTGTATCTTACGTTAATTTTTGATTTGCTAATAATTAATTGTTAATAACCGATTTAATTTTTCTGCATTGATTTGCGACGATTTTTCCTTTTCTTAAGTATTAAAATTAATTATTTTATGCTTTTGAATATTTTAGCTCTGCAACTGTTTACTTGTTAAATACTCAACTCATTGTAAAAAAAAACTATCACTTATCTATTGGATTAATCTTATAATTCAAGACATTTATAATAAAAATATTTTATTAACTTGAAAAGAATATCTTTAACAAAGATATAATTTTAGAAATTATCCGATGCAATATCGATTTCTAGATTTTTACAGCACATACAACATCTTATAGGAGAAATGTGTTTTATCGAGATTATTGGTAGCACTTTAGTGTTGTGTCTGCTAGGATATTATGTGATAACGGTACGCAATATAATAGTAACATTTGTTAACTGATTTTTCTACATCGCATGCAGGTTCTTATTTATATACTATAATTTTTTAAATAAATTAATATGCTTCTTTATATAGGGATGGGAACAGAATGATGCACTTTCCTTTTTGACATATGCTATAATGCTCGTATCTTTTACATTCAATATTTTTATATTGTGTTACATAGGGGAAATTTTAAATATTCAGGTAATGTACACAGATAACAAAAATTAATATGTATATAGATATAATAATGTATATAAGTACAACGTCAAATATATTTATAATCGGAGAAAAATATATTAAAATAAAAAATAACAAAGAATACGCAGTTTTAAAAAAATTATTATTATGAGACAAGAAATATCAATAAAATACATTCTTTATACTTTGCACAGGCGAATAAAGTTTATATAACTTGTTGCACACTCGATTGGTATTGGTTACCTAGTGAACAAGCTCGATATCTTATCCTAATAATTGCAATGGCTAATTATCCTACAAAACTCACGGCGGGTAAAGTGATCGATCTTTCATTTAGCAGTTTCGGTGGTGTAAGCAGTTTTATTTCTTTTAATATGACAACAAATATTTTTCATGTTTTATTATTAAATAAAATTTAAATTATTTTTTTTATATGTAATTCGTATATATAGTATATATATATATATATATATATATATATTATATATATACATTTTATTAGTATATATATATATATACATTTTATTATATATATATATATATATATAATAAAATTATTATATTGAAAAAAAGAGAATTCTGTTACACGAATTTATTCTTCTTTATATATGTACATTTTTATCTATAATATATCTATATAAATACAATATATATATATATATATATATATATATATATATATAATATATTATGCATACACATTTTTTTAATCTTTTTAGGTTATCAAAACCGCGATGGCATATTTAAATTTGCTACGGACAGTCACTATGTAATCGCGTAATATTACATTATACATATTATATAAAATCATATTTATTTATATTATATGGAACATGTATTTATAATTTAAATTCTAAATACATTCATCCATTTTTGTTCCAAAGATTTTTATTAGTATTCTAACACTATATATCAATCCATTTTTATTTAAAAAAATTATAATATAATATGTACATGTTTTAATTGTTTATAAAAAATGATTGCATAGTTACAAAATAATATCCAGTAATTTTTAATCATTTTTCGGTGTGATCCGCAAACTGTTATGAAATAAAATTCAAAAAAAGATATTTTCTTTTTCGTCATATACAGAAATCAAATCATCAGCTTATGCACGATCTCTTTCTATGCGATTTTCTAAAATGAAATTCAATCCAAATATAATTTTCTTGCCTGCACCAAAGCTATTCTAAAAACTACATTACAGAAAACAGCTTTGAGAAACAAGATGTACATCGTATCCCTCTCAGGTAAAAGAAAGGAAGAACAGGATATTGGAAGACATCATTTTTAATCATCGATTAATGATATACATATATATATATATATATATATATATATATATATATATATAATGTGGCGGCTTTAAGTACAGCAATGATCTGTTTTATTATATCACAGTGCGGTTGGCTTGCATCAAGATCAAGAAAAGGATCGAGAAAATGAGAGTTCTACGTATCCGATGCCAAAGATAATCATTAACATTTAATAGAGTGCCGCCAAAAAAAATTTTTTTATTTAACTGTCCAATTCTTTGCTCATAATGTCACAGTGGGCACGTTTAACAACATGCATGTTTACGATTAGATATTCATAAATGAATTATCTGATCAATTGTCAAGAAAGCGTTAATAATACTATGGACGAGAGATTGACGAATTACTCAACTGTGTAGTATCTTGAAGTAAGTCCAATTTTGAAATATTGTTTGTGTGTGTGTGTGTGTGTGTGTGTGTGTGTGTGTGTGTGTGTAGAAATGTGTATTGTATGTCAAAAAGATAACAATGTCAAAAACTAAATTATACTATTTTTACATTAATGTCGTACAATAATAAAATTTGGTAATAAAAATAAGTTGGATAATTTTAACATTTCCAAGGATCATTATTATTTAATAAATATATCAACGTGCATGACAAATTGTAGGAAAAATAAAATGTGTAAATACATAAATATAAGACAGAAAAAATAAAATAAGAATGTTTAAATACTTTGTATTAAAAAATTCGCATATTTTTCTTTTTAGTCTGTATTTATGCACTACAATTAACGCAAATTTAAGAAAGACAGACTTATTCCATTTTTATACTATTTTATGTACTAATTAAATATATATTAACACTTTACCTTACATATATGTACATATATGTACATATTATAATCTATATTAATTTAAAGAAAAAAATCTTCAATCTTTATGGAAGATTCACGGAAGGCACTCAGAAGATAACTGTGCAAAAAATGCAAATCTCCATTTTTAATCTATATTTAAATCATGAACAGTAGCAGAAATAGTTCGAGAGAAATAATCTTCCCTCATCTTAAGTCAATATAACTATAAAATGCACCCTTCATTGTCCTGATGTGGCTGATAGCATGACCATAATACTTATTTCTTGGAAGGGAAGCTACGCGAAACGGCGCAGTCGCACTTCACTTCCTGCGCTTATGTCGCACAATCCTTTCAGTAGCTATCGAGTTCCCGCGCTTTAACGATGTACAAAAACCCTACACAGAATTCGAAAGCCCTCACGTCCACCTATGATTATAAAAGAGACGTGCAGCTGAGCATTCAACTGAATCGTTGGATTCTGAAACCCATCGGCGTTTGGCCAAAATCAGAAAAAACCTCATGGATAGAAAAATATATTTATATGCTAGTAAACGTGATTTGCACCAGTCTTATTGGCTTCTTGTTTATACCCTGCGCTACTTTTGCAGCGCTCGAGGTAAAAGACACGTATGATACTTTGAAGCTCTCCGGACCACTAAGTTTTTGTATAATGGCCGTCATTAAGTATTCCTCTCTGATCTTCCGTGAGAACGATATCCGCAGAGGTGTCGAATATATCGAGAATGATTGGATGAATACACGGCATTTTGAAGATCGGATCATCATGATTAGAAATGCTAAATTCGGTCGTCGTCTCGTAAAGATATGCGCGCTCTTTATGTATGGTGGTGCTGTGTTTTATTATCTTGCCATGCCATTTAGCAACAGCAAAGTTATGGATAGTGATAGAAATTTGACGTATCGGCCTCTAGTGTTTCCGGTCGCCAAAGTAATCGTTGACGTACGATACAGTCCCATCAGTGAGATCTTCTTCTGGGTGCAATGTTTGTCGGGCTTCATTGCGCATTCCATCACTGCCGGTGCATGCAGTGTAGCCGCCGTATTCGCAATGCATGCTTGCGGTCGTCTGGAGGTTTTAATGCAATGGATCGAACATTTGGTGGACGGCAGAGAAGATTTTCACGATTTGGATGAGAGATTGTCGATGATTGTGCAGCAGCACATTCGAATTTTACGGTAAGTTTTATCGACTCTAGTTCTATTATATTTATTATATTTTTCTATTATATTTATTATATTTCTATTATATTTAACTCTCATAAACAAAAAATAGATAGTATCTTGAGAATTATATGCGCATATTATATACGCACGAAGCAATTTCACATTTTGCTTCGCATGTATCAATATAAATATTCATATTATATTTTCGTATTATATTTTATTATATTTTGTATTATATTTTCATTTCATTTAACATTTTTAAATATCTATCTCTATAGAAGGTGTTATTAGTGTAATTTATAGTAATTGAAAAGAATAGAGAAGAAGATTTAGAATACATATAAATATATATAATATCTATTTAAATTCTATATCATTTATGCATGAAAATTTGTTCAATTATTACATTTAAAATATATTGCAATTATATTTTATATTTTATATTAAATTTGTACAATTAGAAAGTATGTTTCATAAGAGATATAACGTCCACTGATCAAGATTTAATGATTTAATTATTAAGTATCATTAAAAAAATTATATTGTTTCTCAAACATTTTACGCGATAATGTACTCTTCCAGTTTTATATCGTTAACGGACAAAGTACTGCGTGAAATATCTATCGTGGAAATTGCAGGATGCACATTAAATATGTGCTTTCTTGGATATTACACTATCATGGTATGCATAAGCTACATAGCACAAAGCGCATTATTTAATATAATATCCAAAATCAAAACTTGACAAACAATGACACCTATAACATATTCAAATACACAAGACTATTTATTTGCAGGAATGGGATAGTAATGATCCTGCACGTTATATAACGTATATTGTTTTACTTCTATCTTTTATATTCAATATTTTTATTTTTTGTTACATTGGTGAACTTATTGCCGAGCAGGTATAGTTTTCATTCTCGAAGTATTCCTCTGCACTTTTTATATAAACGTAATGTGTAACTCAAATCTGACAATTAAATTTTCACAATATATTTATATAAAAGAAATATTATAGTATCTGTACAATAGTAGCATTTGAAATGCGCATTTTTATTTTTTGAAAAATGAAACTCATTAAGCGTAGATATACTTATAAAAAGATTTTTATTTATACTTGCATCTTTATATTATTTGAAAAATGAAATTTTTATCAATAAGCGTGAATATGCTTATAGAAGAAATTTTATTAATTAAAAAAAGAACTAAAAAATCCTATGCAAACAGTGCAAAAAGATCGGTGAAGTCTCGTACATGATCGAATGGTATCGTTTACCAGGAAGAAAAAGTCTCGCTCTTGTATTAATCATCGCTATGTCCAGATCGTCTATCAAATTTACTGCCGGAAATTATTTCGAGTTGTCTCTCTGTACCTTCAGTGACGTAAGTAATACACAGTATCAATGTTTATGTATTAAATTTAACAAATAATATATATTTAAATATATTTAATATATATTTAATATATATTTAAATTCAACAAATAATACATATTTATGACTTATACAATATATCATTAATTCAACCTATAGGTAGTTAAAACATCTGTTGGCTATTTGAACATGCTTCGTACGTTAACTTAGTAAAATCTGTGTTATATGTGTAGAAATTATTGCAATTGTTGATTTAAATGTCAATTTATTATATGATCTCTTTAAAAAAGAGAAATCAAATATGTATAGACATAATATGATATAAAACAAATAGAAAACTCATGTATCTGCGTATAAATATTAAGAATTTGCTAAAAAAATTTAATATACATGTATATCGAATGCGCACTTATATCAAATTTCTTTTCATAACCTGTTTTGTCTTTTTTATTACGCAATATAAAATTAAATAATATTGAAAAATTTTTTAAATTCATTTCAAAGTTTGTAGAAGTAAAATATATAGCATTTATAATACCACACACAGAAATTGCACAGAAATAATGTTGTTTACATACTTCACTGTATTTACATCATGCATTATATATCATGGATGTATATCTATATCGTGTAACATTTTTATATTTTATAACATAGTTAAAATTTTTATTGATCCTCCTCCTGATCAAATATCTGCAAGCTATATAAATATAAGAAACTTTTTTGTTTATTATATTTTTAAATAAAATAATGATATAGAAACATAGATCCAAAGTACTTGTATAATGTCAAAAAATGGATAAAATTGCATAACGAAATGATATTACATACTTGATTCGATTCTAATAATCTCGAAATCAAATGTTATAAAAATAACCAAAGGAGAAAGGATACAATTACCTATTGTGACTTTTTCGGAGATATAAACTTATTCGATAATTTATATTAATATAATTTATTATATAAAGAAAATATATATATTTTTGATACAAGTTAATATCAGCAATTTTCCATAAATTTTTTATAATTCTATTTTTCCATAAGATTGTATATTATTTTTTACGATTGTATCGTTTAAATAAAAACACTCCTAGGGACTACTACTTAATAGATCTTAATGTGCATAATGGATTGCAGAAAAAAAGTTTGTGTAAATATTAATATAAAACAGAAAGTAAAATTAAAAAATATTTTTTTATTCTATAATCTGCAATACTTTAAGAAAAAAAAATTATCAATCTTTATGGAAGATTCACGGAAGTCTCACAGGAGGTAGCTGTGCAAAACACGCAAGCCTCATATATGTAATTTATGAAGAGTAACAGAAATAGTTCGAGAGGAATAACATCCCCTTTTATCTTCTTATGAAAGTCAATATGAGTATAAAATTCACCCTTCATTGTCCTGATATGGTGATCGTATACACTACTTATTACTTGGAAGGGAAGCTACATGAAACGGCGCAGCCGTACTTATTGTTAGCTTCCTGCGCTTGTATCTTTGCACAATCCTTTCAGTAGCGACGGAGCTCTCGCGCTTTAATGATGTACAGAAATCTTACGCAGAAGTCTAACGTCGTCGCGTCTACCTACGGTTATGAGAAAGACATACAGTTGAGCATTCAGTTGAATCGTTGGATACTAAAACCGATCGGTGTCTGGCCAAAATCAGCAAAAACCTCATGGATAGAAAAATACGGTTATATGCTAATAAACGTGATGTGCACTAGTCTTATTGGCTTCCTGTTTATACCTTGCGCCGTCTACATAACGCTCGAGGTAGAGGACACATATAATACCTTGAAGCTCTCCGGACCACTAAGTTTCTGTCTGATGGCCGTCATTAAATATTCCTCTCTGATCTTCCGCGAGAACGATATCCGCAGAGGTATCGAATACATTAAAAATGATTGGATGAATACACGATATTATGAAGATCGTATTATCATGATCAGAAACGCGAAGTTTGGCCGTCGTCTCGTGGTGTTATGCGCGTTCTTTATGTATGGTGGTGCTGTATTTTATTATCTTGCAATGCCATTCAGCAATGGCAAAGTCACGGAGAGTGATAGTAATTTGACATATCAGCCTCTGGTGTATCCAGTCGCCAGAGTAATCGTTGATGCGCGATACAGTCCCGTCAGTGAGATTTTCTTCTGGGTGCAATGTTTGTCAGGCTTTATTGCGCATTCCATCACTGCCGGTGCTTGCAGTGTAGCCGCCGTATTCGCGATGCATGCTTACGGTCGCATGGAGGTTCTGATGCAATGGATCGAGCATTTAGTGGACGGAAGGGAAGATCTTCGCGGAAACTTAGACGACAGATTATCGATGATTGTGCAACAGCATGTTCGGATCTTACAGTAAGTAATTTTGCGACTTTAGAGAGTGATTTTCTTATATATTTCACTCTTGGAAATGAAAGAATAACGACACAATCGTGTGTGAAAAGAGTAGAAGCATACTATGAATATACAAATTTATATTTATTAATATTATAATAATATTATATTTAATATTATATTATTATTTTACTTTATATTTTTAAACACTGTTCTCTTTCTCTCCTCATTCTCTCATAAATAATGCTACTACTAATAATACATAGTAATTGAAAAAAGTGGAGTATGTTTAGAATACAGAGATAAATAATGTAAATTCTATACAAATCACGCATAAAATATCTGTTCAATTATTATATTTTAAATATAATATTGCAGTTATTTTCATTATATTTTATATTACAATTGAAAAGTATAAATGGATAATTTAGCATCACTGGCCAAGAGTTAATAATTTAATTAACATTCTTTAAAAAAAATATTTTTGTTTCATCTTACACGTGCCTGATGCCTTCCAGTTTTATATCTCTAACAGAGAAAATATTACGTGAAATATCTGTCGTGGAAATCACGGGATGTACATTAAACATGTGCTTTCTTGGATATTATGTTATTACGGTATGCATATCGTAAAAAAAGGCGCTAACCGTCAAATGCATCATCTGTTTTAAGTAATATCGTAGATTATTTACGATAATACGTATAACGTATTAAAATAAAATTATCTTTATATTACAGGAATGGAATAATAAAGAACCTGCACGTTATATTACATATATTGTTCTGCTCATATCTCTTACATTTAATATTTTCATATTTTGTTATATTGGCGAACTTATCGCTGAACAGGTATAATTCTCATTCTCGAAATGTTTCTTTGCATTTTTGATAAACTTAATGACAAATTTTACAATTAAATTTTTACAGTATATTTATGTAATAGAAAAAATATAGTATATATACAATAATATATAGCATATACAATAATAAAATTAAAAAATACGCGCATTTTTACTTTTTGAAAAGTGAAAATCGATAAGCGTAAATATGTTTATAAAAAAAATTTATTGAATTTATAAAAAAAATAATTCTGTGCAAACAGTGTAAAAAGATCAGCGAGATCTCATACATGATCGATTGGTATCGTCTACCAAAAAGAAAAGGTCTCGCCCTTGTGTTAATCATCGCTATGTCTAATTCGTCTGTCAAATTTACTGCTGGAAATTTCTTCGAGTTGTCTCTTAGTAGCTTCGGTGACGTAAGTAGTGCACAATATCAATGTTTATTAAATCGAGTAAACATATATGTTTTAAATATCTCTCGTTCAATCCATAGGTGGTTAAGACATCTGTCGCCTATTTGAACATGTTACGTACATTAACTTCGTAAAATCTATATGTATGCAGAAATTGTTGATTTAAAAAAAATATAAATTTATAATCTTATATTTAAGAAAAAAGAGAAATAAAATATATTTAAATATGCTGTTATAATAAATTTATACATACATATATTCAGAAATATTTATATAAAAATTTAATGTACTTTTTATATTTTTCTATTCTCTTCAAATTTCTTTTTATTAAAATCTCTCTTATAGATAAGATTTTATTATATATGGTATAAAATTATACATATTTAATTATAAAATTATATATTATGATTTTCAATGATCTTGAGTATTAATCAGAAATTAATAACTTCAAATTGGAACTCAATAACCATTGAGGTAAAGATTGCAAATAACTTTTCATTTTTTAGCTTTTACCCGGTTATATCTTCTATAGTATGTACATTCTTTAAAAGAAAAAGAGGATTTAAATTTCTTTCTAACACACAAGGTTACAAATTACTATCTCATAAGCGGTATCAATTATTGTTATTATAATATTTGTTTCTAAATATGTAGTTGGTTTATGTGATGCTGAGGAATACCATGACAGGTTGCGTGATATAAGCCCATCATTTGTGACTATGTTTTAGCAAAATTATTCATACTAAGCTAAACTTTAACAGTTATGCTCAGCGTACAATCTAACATTTTCAGGATATCTCGTTTTCTCGATCGAGTGGTAAGTTATATTTTGAAGAATTTGTTAACGAGAAACAAAAAATCTTAGTATAGATATATTTGACGTGATTATTCTTATAGCAGAAATTTTCAGCCTGTCGGTCTTACTTAATTAATAAAAATGTGCATTTTGCATTTTTAAATAAAATATAAATCTATATAAAACAAAATTATTATTCACACTTTATTACTAATAATTTTGTATATATTTATTAAAGATTTTGTCTTATATAAATACTCAGAAGTAAAACATTAGAATACATATCAATATGCATAACAGGTTGTAAACAAGAAATGAGTTTGTATAAATACAGAAATATAATAAGAAAGAAAATAAAATATATACTATTTACTACAGTTTCATAGTTGAATCACATAAATATACACAAACAATATTTTATGTATGTACGTGTTATAATTTGTAATTTTAAAGAAAATCATCAATTTTTATTGTTCACGGAAGATGTGAGAAACACAAGCTTCATGTATATAATTCATGCACAGCGGCAAACATAGTTGAAGAGGAAAAGTAGTTCTCTTTTATCACATCATATGATAGTCAATATGACTATAAAATGCACCCTTCATTCCCTTGATATGGTTGATGGCTTGACCATTTTTTATTTCCTCAGAAGGGAAGCTATAGGAAATAACGCAACCGCCTTTCTGCGCTTGTATCTTTGTAACTCTTTAGTAACTATAAAATCCTGATGCTTTAATGAAATGGAAATCCTATGCAGATTTCAATTTTGTCGCAAGTATGATTATGAAAGACATGCGATTGAACATTCAGCTCAATCGATGGATATCAAAACTGATTGAAATCTGGTCAAAATCAGCCGGAATCTCATGAGTAAAAACATACGTTTACATATTAATAAAAAAAAATATGTACTGTGAACCGTTTTTTTTTCACGTAATGCCGGAAATAAGCATACGTAGTTTTAAATCATATAATATGACATATGATTTAAAACTGCATACGTTTATTTCTATTACTTGAACAAAACGATCCATAATATAAATGTTTTTAAATGTAAGATCTTTACTTTACGGTAAAATAAAGAACCTACAAATCATATTATATATATATATATATATATATATATATATATATAATTATTATTATTATTATTATTATTATTATTATTATAAGATATATTATTCTTCTTATGTCTCTTTCTTTTCAATATTTTTATATTTTGTTACATTGATGAACAGACATGATTTTTACTATCAAAGCATTCTTTTGCATCTCTCCAATAAACTTAAATTTACTTTACAAATATCTCTTAATAATATATTTCTATAATAATTTATGCATTAATAAAATTCAGAATATGCACTTTTCTTCTTTTTTAAAATAATTTTTATTAGTATAAGTGTAAACATATATATTATAGAAGCGAAATGAAAAAAGTAATCCTGTAAGTAGTACAAAAAATCGGCGAGACATCATCTGATCGATTGGTATCGTTTACCAGGAAGGAAAAGTCTTGCTCTCATATTGATGATTGCTACGTCAAATTTATCTATCAAACTTACTGAAGAAATTACAGAAGAACTTATAAAAATCTCTTCGAGCTGTACTTTCTCTTTCAGTACTTTCAATGACGTAAGTAATGCAATGTCAATGTCTATTATATTTTTTCAGCATGATTTACATATAATTCATTCAATTGATGGGTGATTAAGATATCGATTGCTTACTTAAACATGTTACATACATAAACTTCTTAAAATTTATCCAAAGTGTACAAATTATTAATGTAATTATGTATAAACAGTCAAATAATTATTAATTGTTCTCCATCCCATATTAAAAAGAAAAATGAAGTAAAAATATAATTTTAATAAATAGAAAATTTATGTGTGCATACTGACAAATATATATTTTATTCAAAAATTTTGATATATTTTTCACATTTTTTCCTATAAAATTTTTCTTACAATTAGCATCATGTTCTATAAAACTAAGTGACTTTAATAGAAAATAATGCAAATTTATTTTTAAGAAAGTATTGAGAAAATAAGGAAATGATTCATATATAAGATTCATATATATTCTTTTAATATCCTATCACAAATAAAATTATGACAGAAACATAGATTACAACACATTAAAAATTATTTGAATGGATTCTAAGAATCTCGAGATCAAATACTATTAAAAACATAATTACAGAAATAATTAATTATGTTTATTGCAACTTTAAAATTGCTATTTGATAATTCCAATATTAACAGTTAAAAAAATATTAGAACAAGGTAGAATTGACACTTTTGCTCAAAAATTATTTATTCAATTTTAATTGATCTATAAAATTTTATTGTATTATTATTGTAATATTTTTTATTATTTGAAATACTTAGCGCTAATACATACCTAGTAATTAAAAATATTGTAATGCCATAATATGAAAAATTGCCATTGAAAAATGTATATGTGTAATATGTATTTTTTAGTTGTTTAGTATGGCATTTTATGTATGAGATATATAATATTATAAATGTCTATAATAATCTGTTATAACTAATATTAAGAATTCGTCAAGCAGTTTCGTTGAATAAGTTGAAGGTACTGTAAGTATCGATTATGTTCTGTCTCTCAGTAATTTTTTTTACTGTTCGATATATGTCCGCGCAAGCGTTAACGTACTTCGTTGGAAAACGCAATCAGCAATAGTGATCAGTAGTAGTGCGTCTTCCGCGAATCAACCATGAAGCATACCTCTAGCAAATCTATCGTAGAAGTTTACAGACAAGATAACGATTATAGTCTTCAATTGAATCGTTGGTTCTTGAAATCAATAGGAGCTTGGCCCGAATCGACGAATTCGATGATCAAAAATATTCTGATAAAAATTCTGCAATTAACATGTCATTCTTTAATAGCTTTCACCGTAATACCTTCTATACTATATATTCTCTTCGAAGAGAAAGATATCCGCCTAAAGCTCAAAGCTATAGGACCAACGAGTCATTGTCTCATGGGTGGTATCAATTATTGTTCGCTTTTGCATCATAATGATCGGATACGGAAATCTGTCGAACATATGGAGAGCGATTGGCGTATGATGAAGAAAAAGCAAGATCGAGAAGTGATGCTGAAGAATGCAAGAGTAGGTCGTGTTATAGCGGGTATTTGCGCACTGATCATGCAGGGTGGTGTTCTTTGTTACAACATAGCGAGAGGAATGTCACGGATAATCGTGATCGTCGGCAACAAGACAATTACAACGGGTCGCTTACCATGTCCGTCTTTCAATAAAATTGTGGATACTAGAATCAGTCCAATATATGAAGTTGTACTTGTGTTGCAATGTCTCTCCACCTTCGTAGTGAATAATGTCACAATTAGTGCATGTGGTCTCGCCGCTGTCTTCGCAATGCATGCTTCCGGTCAACTTGATATAGTAATGTTACGTCTCGAAGAACTAGTCGATAAGAAACAAGAGCTAACATTGGCGAATGTCGTAGAGCATCATTTGCGAGCGTTGAAGTAAGATAAATTATAAACAAAATTATATACAATTTTTTTAATTATCTACTAAATGACACAGTCATATTTGAATTTTTGAATTTTTACTGACATTGTCAGATAATTCCATGCGAGCGCTTAAGATTGATTTCTTACAAAATTCAATTTTTTAATTATAAAGATATCAAAAACCTATAAAATACTAAAAATTATTGAAAATTATTTTATTGCACTTTTTGCAAACATTTTATATTATATTTGCAAAAAATGAACTATTTTAGAATTAAAAAATATTAAAAATTTTTTGCCAGTTATTATAAACATATCAATTACAGATTTCTTTCACGTATGGAGGCAATTTTGCGACAGATATGTTTTGTAGAATTAGTTGGGTGTACATTTAATTTATGTATGTTAGGATATTATACCATTACGGTACGCCAAAAAAATTTGAAAAAAAATCTATGACAATTGCTTATTTTTTTCATATTTTAAATGCTATTAATTTACATATATTTCCAGGAATGGTATGAAGAAAGTATGAATACTATAATAACATATATCATGGTACTCACATCGATGATGTTCAATATTTTCATATTTTGCTTCATTGGTGAACTTGTAGCAAACCAGGTAAATAATTATATATATATATATATATATATATATATATATATATATATATAAATTATTCTCATAACTTACCTATAATTAAAATACTTTTTATTTTTGATTCACGATTGATTCAACTTTTGCGACAGTGTAAAAAAGTTGGTGAAGCAGCTTATATGATCAATTGGTATTATTTACCGCATAAAACTGTCCTTGGTCTAATTTTAATAATTTTGCGATCAAGAATTGTAATCAAAATTACGGCTGGAAAAATATTTCATATGTCTATTGCAACTTTCGGTGTCGTAAGCATATGACTTCTATAAAACAAATTTAATTTCTAAGATTCTCTATTATGTAAAAAGTAATACAAATTTACATAGAGCATAATCTTTATTCGGATCTATCAACATATAAATTAATTATATGTTAAACATTTCAGGTAATTAAAACATCTGTTACATACCTAAATATGCTTCGAACTTTAACTATGTAAATATTGCATGAGAAAGACAAAATATAACTATTTTATAATATATTTTATATTTATATAGGCAATATATGAAGTGAAAATATAATTCCTATATGTAGATATTAATTTTTTTCGTATATAAATTTGATTCATATATACAATTGTTAAAACGCAATAATAAATCAATAAATATAGAATTCTTGAATTGTATTTTATTATATATAATATATTTAAAAAATGAATCTTAAAATATAATTAATAATATAATTATATTTTAATTAAAAATCAAATAAGATACTCAGCTGAAATCTGATTATTTGCATAAAACTTGACTTAAGATTCAAGATATTAATCAAAGCAGTAATGCGCACTTTTCTTTGGAATTAATCTTTATAAATTATAATTTAATTTTTTATATTCAGATTATTATGCCAATAAACAATTCATCATGTTTTCACATAATAATTATATAATTATGTCTTATCGACATAAAATGCCTTTAGAAAGGGATTTTATTCATACGTCTAAAGGGATTTTTAAATATTTGACATAAATAAAAGCAATTTTTATTTTTGCATAAAAACAAAATATTAATAATACAATACATACGATCAGTAAAGTCTTGATCGATTGCCATAAATTTTAAAATATGCAAATTAGTGTCGTATATTTCACAATTCTGTACGATCGCTTATAAAACAAAATGCATCACACACTGCACACAGTTTATATCTAATACTAGTCTATAGTTGCAAGTGGCGGTGCAACAAGTAGTCATTATCGATTAGTGCAATGTTCCGCCTCTCAAGACATGCAAACCTTTCTATAAAGAAGAATCTGCGCAATCGCTACATTAACTATTCCGCTTACTATTCCATGTCGCTGAAAGATGCGATAAACGTTCAGTATTTCGTGTGCTTTTGACGAATTATGATGACTTCACTGCCTGTTAAAGTGATGTCAGCTTCGGATCGTTCTGACGAGTATCATAATTATAGTATTCAACTAAATCGTTGGTTTCTGAAACCAATCGGTGCCTGGCCGGAATCGCGTGCAACCACCATCGCTGACAGAATCCTATCAAGGATCATACAGATAACGTGCTACATTCTCATAGCTTTCACAGTAGTGCCTTGCATGTTATACTTTTACTTCGACGAGCAAGAGCTCGATATTAAGATGAACTCGGTAGGACCCGTGAGTCATTGGATCATGAATGGGATAAATTATTCCTCGCTGTTATGGCGGGGTAAAGATATACGTCGTTGCATCGAGCACATGGAGAGCGATTGGTGCACGGTGAGTAGAATCGAGGATCGCGTAGTGATGCTGAAATACGCCAGATTCGGCCGATCCGTAGCCGGCTTCTGTGCAGTCTTCATGCATTGTGGCGTGTTTTCGTACAGCGTGGTAAACAGTCTATCGCCGATGATCGCCATAATCGACAATCAGACTGTCATAATGCGACGATTACCTTGCCCGTTCTATAGCAAGCTAATGGATACCAGCCGCGATCCGATAAACGAAATCGTATTAGCGATGCAATTTTTGTCTGGTTTCATAGCAAATTCTATCACGGTTGGTGCGTGCAGCCTTGCCGCGGTTTTCGCGACACATGCATGCGGTCAATTTGCCGTGCTCTATTCTTGGTTGAGCGAACTAGTCGACGAAGAAGAGGAGAAACGATCTGTCGAATGTAAATTGGCTAACATAGTTGAGCAACATTTGCGTGTATTAAAGTAAAGTATCGCTTATTAACTTTATAAGAAATTATTTATAATATATACTAAGTAAAAAAGAAGTCAGTGCGCTTAAAATCTGAAATATTATAATTTTAGTTTCTTATCAAGCTTCGAGAAAATTATGAATCAAATATGTCTCGTGGAATTAGTTGGATGCACGTTAAATTTATGCTTACTTGGATATTGTTCTATTAAGGTATAATAAAAAATATTATTAATATATCATTTAAAGCTCTTAGTTTCTCACTAATATTATAATAAACTAAAGCCTAAATAAATTGTTTTTTATAAAATATGATAAAAGAAATTAGTGTTTTATATGCCATTATATATATATATATATATTTCATTCGATAATATATATTCATGAAATAAATCTAAGACTTTTTTTGTTTGTTTATTAATAAATAGCTATTATCTTGTGTATTAATCATTCATTAAGAAATAGCTATAAATCTTGATCAATTGTTACAAATTTTATTTTTGTCAACAAATAGAACACATACAAGTAAGTTATGTATTTATTATGCATTTTTAATAAAAATAGAGGGAGTTTTTTATGATATATGATAGAAAATAATTTATTTATTTATATGTATATAAGAAAAAAAGTTCACATAATTACTTGCTTTTAATTCAATATGTAATAAGAAAACAAAGATTTTAAAATTTTTCATTGAAATATTAATTATTTCTATATTCTTAAAGAATTTTTATTTTCTCAATACTTCGTATTGCAATTTCAGGAATGGAATGCAAGAAATACGAAGACCATAGCAACGTATAGTATTTTGTTCATATCTATGTCTTTCAATATCTTTATATTCTGTTACATAGGCGAACTAATCACGGAACAAGTAAACTATATATTGCTTTTTTCGAAATAAAAATTTATGAATATAAAATTTTACAAAATATTTGTGCAATTCTTATATAAAGATATATTTATTATATTATATTCATAAAATTAATTTCAGTGCAAGAAAGTGGGCGAAATGGCTTATTTTACTGACTGGTATCGGTTACCTCATAAGACTGCTCTCGGTATGATATTAATAATATCAAGATCTAGTGCCGTGATTAAAATCACTGCTGGAAAATTAATTCAACTTTCTTTAATAACGTTTGGTGATGTGAGTGTTTTTTAATAGCACCACACTTTCACCTAAAAGTAAAATTTCATTATTTCATATACTACATTTCATTGCATTTTTTTTGTACAGTATACTTATAGATTATCTAATTTTAGAAAAGTTTGATATAAAAGTTATGTTAAATTTATCAAATATTTTAAATATGAAACTTCTACAAAAATTTATTTAATCTATTCTTCTTATCTATTTCAGGTGATTAAAACATCTGCAGCATATTTAAATATACTTCGTACCGTAACCATGTAACTATAATATGTATAAAAATAGAAGCAAATTAATTCACATGCAATAAGAAACAATTTAAAAATCGTCGGCTTTTAGTAATATTATTTCCTTATTAATAATATGTATATTGAACCTTTGAATTATTGAATCATAGAATATAAAAAAAATTAAAGTACATAAAAATAATATCCTATATACAATAAATACATAAAAATATTTATTTTCTATGGGCACTTTAGAAAGCATACAATATCAAAATTGCTATTTTATCTTTTCCTCTTTTTATGATCTGCCTTTCGACGAATCGACACACCAACACGAAAAAAACAACGATGCAACAAGTTGCACTAAATTTATCAACTAGCGTAAAATTCCGCTTATTTACTGCAATGTGCTTTTTTCTATATCAAACACAATCACGGAAATTTGCTGCAACACACATTTTCATTGCGCGAAGATACTAAAACCAATAATACGTGCATTTTCATAAGATAGAAAACTGCGAACAAATTGAATATGAACTATTATGCAGCATTTGCGCAGGCAAAGGCAATGGAAAATTTGCAAATAATATTTACATTTATAAAAAATATTAAGTTTATAACTGAAAAGATTTTTGATTAGCAAGTGCATGTATTATATATTATTATATATAGAATATTTGAACTTTACATCAAGTGAATTAAGCATCAAATATGTCTCATTGAATTGATCGAAAAATATTTATGTTCGATCGGATATATAGAATATTTGAATTTTACATCAAGTGAATTAAGCATCAAATATGTCTCATTGAATTGATCGAAAAATATTTATGTTCGATCGGATATTACGGATATGATTACGGTGGGATAAAGATTTCTGCACTAAAATTATGTTGTATGTGTGACTTATATGTGTATGTGTGATTATTATATTAAGTAGTTAGTTAATATATATGCTAACATCTTACTGCTCAATAAAAAATGAAAAATTTGAAAGCTGAAAGATAAACATGTCAATAAATATCATTAATCATAAAAACATTGTTTCCACGTATTTCGATCTTTCAGAAATGGAATATGAAAGATACGAAAAATATCACAAGTTACGAAAAGGATAAATAACGCACAGATTTGCATAAAAATATGACGTATGCCGCATTAGTGGCATTCATAAAGAAGCTTGCATATTTTATTATTAACCACTAATCAGTTATTTTATGATTGATTATATTTAATATTTTTCTGAAATAGATATTTTAAAAATAAATATATTATCATATTTTATATAGTTTAAAAAGAACTTAGTGATATCGCCCATATAAAACTTATATTTTGTGAGCTTCTGAATAATTTATTTCAAACAAATGAAAATATCTTATTTAAACATTCTTTTTTTCTTTTTCTTCGTTTCTTATTTAAATTTTCTTATTTAAATTATTCTATTAAATATTCTTTGTACTATCATCATATAAATTGTTTACTATATCACATAACTCTTAGAATAAATTAGTCAAAAAATAATCCGCACATTAATTTCAAACAAATGTCACCATATTATTTTCTCCAATGAAACACTATCAGTTTAGTCAAAAAATCAGTTTGTAAACTAATATAATTCTGCAATGTTCTGTATCGATAAAATGCTTCATGTATCACATATGATCATAGAATTCTTGATCAAGTTAACTCAAGGTATATATAGATGTATTCGCAACGTTTACCGAAGCAACAAGTCCGACAGTACCTTTCAATCGATCAGATTTATTTCATATAGTGGACTATCTTTTCGCGCAGACGCCACAGCGACCGTTACTATAATAGTCGATTAGTAGTTATTGTGCCGTCGTGTAGTCATAATGTGTCGGTCGGTGACTAAAGAGCTGCACGATCACAGTGTACAACTGAATCGGTGGTTTCTAAAGCCGATAGGCGCGTGGCCGCGATCAACCACAACTTCGAGCAGCGAGAAAGCTGTGTCTCGCGCTCTAATATTCGTTTGTTATTTTTTAATAGCCTTCACCGTGATACCGTGTGCGTTGAACATCGTTCTCGAGGAGAAGGACGTCGAGCTGAAACTCCGTGCAATTGGCCCGCTGAGTCATTGGCTTATGGGTGGAATGAATTATTGTTCCCTATTGCTGCGTAGCGCCGATATACATCGATGCATGCGACATATGGAAATGGATTGGCGGATTATCAGGCGATCGCAGCATCGCGAGATCATGGTGAGGAACGCGAAGCTGGGCAGATTCGTGGCAGGTTTCTGCGCGATTTTCATGCACGGCGGCGTCTTCTCCTACAGCATCGTGTCCGGGATGACGACGGTGATGGTGCCGATCGACGACAATCGGAGCGTCCCGATGCTTCAGCTGCCTTGTCCCTCGTACAGCAAGTTTGTGGATGCCCGATTCAGTCCGGCAAATGAAATCGTGTTAATAATGCAGCTGTTCTCATGTTTCATAGTAAATTCCACTACTGTCGGAGCTTGCAGTCTGGCCGCCGTTTTCGCTATGCATGCGTGCGGACAGCTCGATATCTTGACGTTGTGTCTAGATAAACTTGTCGAAGGTGAAGGTGTGAAAAAAAGTGATACGGTCCAACGAAGATTAGCCGATATCGTGGACCATCACTTGCGTGTTTTAAGGTATTAATAGAATTATGTATTATATATATTCAAAAATAAAATAATATTTAGAAATTTGGCTCAAATAAATAAAAATTAAATCAAAATTGGCATATAAAAGCCATAGTGTGGTAATTAAAGCGCAGGGAAGAAACAACCTTTCCTTCTTATTAATTGTTGATTTATTTCCAACTTAAAAATAACGGGCGTTAATAAAAAGAAAGTGTTGTTTCTTCCCTGCGCTCTAACTACCCCCGCGCTCTTATGTGCCAATTTTGATTTAATTTTTTAAAAATAAAATATTCGAAAATATAATTTCAAACATGTAATTGTAATTATTAAACTGTACTTAATTTAACATGCAATACTCCTTTAGTAGGAAACTTTTTGATTTATTAACAAAGAATTATTTCCACTTTCATTTATGCGAATAAATCGCGAGATTTATCTGATTGTGAATGACATGATTTAGTTTTAATTTTGATATTATGAACTATATATTTTTATTTATTCGCTTTTATTCTCATGAGCTACCAAAACAAGCTTTTGGAAGCTGAATTGTCTTTTTGTCTACATTAACAAAAATTTTGAAGCAACTTTCAATTTATAGAGGAATACTGTAAATAATGTTTTACGCAAATCTTCAAAATTACATAATTTTATCTTATTTAAGAAAATTTTAGAGAATATTGCAAAATAAACTTCTTTTGTAAATAAAATTTTGATTATAAACTTTTTTGATTATTTAAACTTCGATATATTATATAATGAAACAGATAAATGCAGTATGTGTTGATAAAAATAGTTTAGACAACATTTTTTAAAAATACAACAAAATATCAAAGATTTCTCTATTTTCTTAAAATTTAAATTTTAGATTCATAGCACGCATCGAAGATGTTATGCATCAAATATGTCTGGTAGAATTAGTTGGATGTACATTTAACTTGTGTATGCTTGGATATTATTCAATTACGGTATGCTAATCATCTTAAAAGGTGAATAGTCACAATCACACTTTAATAATACGCCTTTTAAAAGTCTCGAAAAAATTTTCAATTTGTTATAATCTTTTTAGTGGTGGAATAAAATTGATGCAAAGAGTATAGCAGCATATATTATTGTATATATATCCATGAGTTTCAATATTTTTATATTTTGTTACATAGGTGAAATTTTAACACAACAGGTAAAGAAACAGGGAATATCGTCTAGCATAAATATTAACATATATTTTTAATAGCCATATTTATTAGTGCAAGAAAGTCGGTGAAACAGCATATATGACTGATTGGTATCGCTTACCTCATAAAACAGCTCTTGGCTTGATCTTGATCATATCCAGATCGAGTTCTGTGATCAAAATAACTGCTGGAAAATTAATTCAACTTTCCGTTGCGACTTTCAGTGATGTGAGTATCAACAATTTCTTTTCCAGAAGCATTTCGGCAAATTATTAATCATTCCAGGTTATCAAAACATCCCTCGTTTATCTGAATATTTTACGAACTGTCACAACGTAAACATGAATGTGAGATTGTAGAAATTTCCGATATATTCTCATCTCCTTTATCTGTATAACATTTTTAAAATAAAGGCACACAAACACATTATTATTTATTTGTTATTAAAAGATACAATTTAAAATTAAAATTAAAATTAAAAATTGTCGAGAGAGAGAAATACAGATTGTATTATAATTATTATAATTTTTGGCATTCTTTACAAATTATCTTGTATTACTTCCTATGTTTTATTTATTAATAGCAACATGTAAAATATTAAATATTATGCCATAAAATATTAAGTGACATTCACAATTATATGCACCAAAGCATATTAATCCACAAAGTTCTCTTTACAATAAGCGCTACCCTTTCGCGAGTTATTGATTAAATCCATGCGTATTCTGTACGTTCATCAAACAACTCTAAAGATTCGCGCAGGCGCTCGTTTGAATATAACTCTAACGCACTATTTGTTACTACATATATATTTGTCACATTCAGTGCATCGTGCGCCTTCACGAAGCGTCCATCATGACGTACTCCGAGCATGAGGCAACAAACATTCAACTTACATATAAAAATAATAACGATTACAGTTTACAATTAGCTCGTTGGTTTCTAATGCCACTCGGTATTTGGTCGCGAATAAGCATGACAACGAAAGCCGAGAAATTTATTTCATACGTGCATATTCTTGTCTGTTCATTCTTAATGACAATCGTTACGGTGCCGTTTTTCTTATATGTATGGCTGGAGGAGAAAGATATAGAGATAAAATTGAGCATGATAGGTCCGTTGAGTCACTGGATTATGGGCATGATTAATTATTGTTTACTCCTTGCATACACTAACGATATACGCAAATGCGTGCAACACATGGAAATGGATTGGAGACTGATTAAAAATAACGAGGATCAACAGGTGATGCTACAACAAGCCAAGGTCGGTCGTTTTGTCTCTGGAATCTGCGCGATATTCATGCAGAGCGGCACATTTCTCTTCGCTATAGTCAAATCATTGACTACCACGATCGTTATCGTTGGCAATGAAACCATTTCAATGCGTCTAATGGCTTGTCCGATTTACAGCAAGTTTATCGATACAAGATTCAGTCCCGCGAATGAAATCATGCAAGTTATAGAAATATTATCAACTTTTATAGTTAATTCCGTTACGGTAAGCATTTGCAGTCTCGATGCGATTTTTGCTATGCACGCGTACGCTCAGCTGACTGTGTTATTTTCGTGGTTAAATAAACTTGTGGACAAAAATAATGAAAACAATTTCGCTGGACGAAGATTGGCTATTATTGTGGAACATCATTTGAGAGTGCTGAGGTATTTCATTTAAGTATCTGCACTACATGTGATTTTATAATATTAAAAAAATATTCACATGAAAAAAATGACTTATATTAAACAAAATATTTTTTTTCCTCAAAAAAAAAGATGTTATGTTAAACGTTAATATTGCATATATTATATGTTTCAGTTTTATATCACGTATGGAATCTATTATGCAAAATATTTGTCTCGTGGAATTGCTGGGCTGTACAATGAATATGTGTTTACTTACTTATTACTTTATTACGGTATGCTAAAAACAAGAAAGGTGAATATGTGATAATGCATATGTTTATTTATGAAATGTCAGTTTAGTAATTATACATATATTTATTATATAAATATCAGAAAAAGAGAATTAAATATTCGTCATTTTTTAATTATTAATTAGAAAACAACGAGTAATTGATTCTCTTTTTCTTATATTATTTTTATCTTTATAGAATTTTAATACATTGGATGTGGCAAAATTAATGTCATTTGTTATTATATACTTATCTATGGCTTTCAATATTTTCGTATTTTGTTATATTGGTGAGACCCTCACAGAGCAGGTAATAATTTGAATTCAAGTCAAATATAATTAATGACTATGCCAGGCACTTTAAAAGATAAATCGTTTTTTATATGTATTTTACTATATTTCTACTAATTTCTACATATTTTTATTTAATAAAAAAATTTTTTTAATTTAAATTTATTAGTGCAACAACGTCGGTGAAAAGGTGTATATGATTAATTGGTACGAATTGCCACATGAAACTGCTCTTGGGCTTGTTTTAATAATAGCACGGTCAAATAATGTTATCAGGTTAACTGCTGGAAAATTCTTTCAATTGTCTGTCGCAACTTTTGGTGATGTAAGTATCACATATACATCGCACTTATAATTAAGCATTAATAAAAATTTAATATATTGTATATATTCATTTTCTATTTATTTGTATTATTTATATTAAATTATTGTAACATTTATACCGGCTACATTTTCTAATTTTTAATACATATTTAAATTAATACATATTTAAATTAATTTTAAAATTTCCGAAATTACTAACCTGCATTTTATAAGGAAGAGATATTACTATTTCAGATAGTTAAAACTTCCATGGTATATTTGAATATGTTGCGAACGATGAATTCCTCTGCATGAATAATATTAACTATATTGAAAAACTTAATATATTTTATATAGAATATATAGATATAATAAATAGAAGTATTCAATAAATAGAACAAATTATATTGCAATATGTATAATTATGCTTTGAAAGCGTAATAGGTTTACGTAGATTTTTACGCCATTCAAAATCATCACACCTTTTCTAGTTAAACATTTATGTTTAATACATACTCAAATCTAAATTATATTCAACGTAATTCGTAATTGCAAGATATTACGTATTATGAAGTAATATTTTTCTTGAATATGTATTTATCTATTTATTAATTTCTTGAATATGTCCTACGTATATCGTATTGCAAATTACGTATTTACATACAACTGACAGAAAATTAACAGAAAAATTTACCAGATGTTTCCTGTGTGTTCCCCATTCTTAAACAGTCAATGCTATATTTCTGAGTATTATAATTATCGATCAGACATGCGTCTCTCTCGGAAAGCACAACCCTATACGTTCACCAAAGATTCGCGCACGCGCCCGTTCGAACATAATTCCAGTGCATCACCCATCATAGTCAGTGCATTGTCCGCCTCCGCGAAACAATCATGATATACTCCGAGCGTATACCAACAAGCATCAAATTTACATATAAGAACAATAACGATTATAGTCTTCAATTGACTCGTTGGTTCTTGACGCCAATTGCCGCCTGGCCACGAATATGTACATCGACCATCGATAGGGTTTCTTTACAGGCACATATTCTCTCTTGCTTATCCCTGATAACAATTATCATGGTGCCGTGTTTGTTATACGTATCATTAGAGGAGAAAGATATTCAGATTAAGTTAAGTGTTATGGGTCCGCTGAGTCATTGGATCATGGGTACCATTAATTACTGGCTGCTACTTATGCGCAGCGAGGATATTCGCGAATGCGTGCGACACATGGAGACGGATTGGAAGCTTGTTCGAAGGATCGACGATCAAGAAGTGATGCTACGATACGCCAAGATTGGTCGTTTCATAGCCGGATTTTGTGCGGTGTTTATGCAGAGCGGAACGTTGCTTTTTGTCGTAGCCAAAGCGATGACATCTATTACTATTCTCGTGGGCAACGTAACAACATCGATGCATCCGATGACTTGTCCGATTTACACCAAATTTATAGACACGAGATTCAGTCCTGCAAATGAGATCATGTTAGCTGTGGAACTATTATCGTGTTTTATAGTGAATTCGATTACGGTGGGCGCTTGCAGTCTCGCTGCAGTTTTCGCGATGCACGCTTACGGTCAACTGAATATGCTATTCTCGTGGTTAAATAAACTTGTTGCGGATGAGGAAAACGAATATGCTGATCAGAAATTGGCTGCTATTGTGGAGCATCATTTAAGAGTGCTAAGGTACTTTATTTAAGTATCAAAATTTGACTATATTTGCGCGCGTTCGTCGTGTGTATTATTGATAACAATCTATAATAATCTATAATAATCACAATCTGATTAAACATTTCCATATCAAATAATATTTTTATTTCTATAAAATATATTTATGTTGCACAAAGTGGAATACAGATATTTCCTTCGTTAAAGAAAACCGAGTTGGATTTCATATACATTTCAGTTTTATATCGCGTATGGAAAATATTATGCAAAATATTTGCCTCGTGGAATTGGTGGGATGTACAATAAATATGTGTTTACTTGCATATTACTTTATTACGGTATGCTAAAAATTAGAAAGGTGAATATGTGATTTTATAATTTTTTTTTATTTAGGAAATGTCTTTGTATTTATAAAATTTTTAATAATTATATATATATATATATATATATATATATATATATGTATATATAGTATAAATGTTATATTTATAGTATAAAAAAGAGGGCTAAATCTTCATTATTTTCTAATTATTAATTTTTGTCTTTATAGAACTGGAATATATTTGATGCAGGAAAATTGATATCACTTGTCATTATATACCTATCTATGGCTTTCAATATTTTCGTATTTTGTTACATCGGTGAGACTCTCACAGAACAGGTAATAATTTGAATTTAAGTTCAATGTAATTAATGAATATGCAATAAATTAAAAGTAAGCAATTTTAAAGATAAATCGTAATTTATGTTTTACTATATTTCTAGAATACTTTTATATTCTTAATTAATAAAAAAATTTTTTAATTTAAATTTATTAGTGCAAAAATGTTGGTGAAAAGGCATATATGATTAATTGGTATGAATTACCACACGAAACGGCTCTTGATCTTGTTTTGATAATAGCACGGTCAAATAATGTTATCAGATTAACTGCTGGAAAATTATTTCAATTGTCTATCGCAACTTTCGGTGACGTAAGTATTATACATATATCACACTTATAAGCATTAATAAAAATGTAATATATTGTATATATTTATTTTCTATTTATTTCTATTTATTTCTATTTATTTCTATTATAAATTATTGTAAAAATTTTTTATCGGTTATTTTCTTATTGAGTGACTCAAATACTAAATAATACAAATTCGAAAAACAAAAGCTTGCGAAACAGATTTTCGTGTTTGTCTTGTATCATAAATATTAATAAAAGTGATTTAATTATGTAATTTACTTGATTTTGAAAATAAACGAATACAATATAGTTATATTGATCGATGGTTTCATTGTCTCTACTAATAATTCGAAATCGAATTTGGACGAACTTATATATTATTAACATTTGAGTGACTCAATTTTTGATACATATTATTTTTAATTAATTTTATAACTTTCGAAATTATTAATCTACATTCTATAAGAAAGAGATATATTGCCATTTCAGATAGTTAAAACTTCCGTGGTATATTTGAATATGTTGCGAACGATGAGTCCCTCTGCATGAACAATATTAATTATATTTAAAAATCTAATAAAAATTTTATACAGAACGTAGATATGATAGATAGAAACCAATAAATGAAATAAATTATGTTATGCAATATTTATAACAATGTTAAAACTGTAGATAGATTTTTACGTTATTTAACATAAAACATATTTTCTAAAATTAAACAATAACGTTAAATCTAAATTATATTTACTACACACAAGATGATTTACACACAAGATTTACAATTGCAAGATATGTATTATATATAAACCAGATAATATTTTTCTTTAATATATTTACGTATATATATATATATATATATATATATATATATATACGTAAATATATATATATATATATATATATATACGTAAATATATATATATATATATATATACGTAAATATATATATATATATATATATATATATATATATTTACGTATATTTTACGTATATAATATTGCAAATCGCACATTTACACATAACTGTGAGAGAGAATTAACAAAAAGACTTATATCTGTCATATGTTTCCCATGTGTTATCTACTCTTAAACAATCAACGTTACATTTCCGCGAGCAATAATTATTGATTAAGCATTGCGTCTCTCTCGGAAAGCACAACCTTATGTTCACCAAAGATTCGCGCACGCGCCCGTTCGAATATAATTCCAGTGCATCACCCATCATAGTCAGTACATTGTGCGTCTCCGTGAAACAATCATGACGTGCTCCGAGCGTGTGCCAATGAGCATAAAACTTACACATAAAAACAATAACGATTATAGTCTTCAACTGACTCGTTGGTTCCTAATACCGATTGCCGCCTGGCCACAGAAATGCACATCCACGACCGAAAAAATCTCTTTGCTGGCGCATGTTCTCGCTTGTTTGTTTCTGATAGTAATAATCATGGTGCCTTGTTTGTTATACGTATCATTAGAGGAAAGAGATATTCAAATAAAACTAAGCGCTATGGGTCCACTGAGTCACTGGATCATGGGTATCATTAATTACTGGTTTCTTCTTACGCGCAGCGACGATATCCGCGAATGCGTGCGACATATGGAGATGGATTGGAAGTTGGTTCGAAGGATCGACGACCAAGATATGATGCTACGATACGCCAAGATTGGTCGTTTCATCGCTGGATTTTGTGCGGTGTTTATGCAGAGCGGGACGTTCCTTTTTGTCATAGCCAAAGCGATGACATCTATTACTATTCTCGTGGGCAACGTAACGACATCGATGCACCCGATGACTTGTCCGATTTACACTAAATTTATAGACACAAGATTCAGTCCTGCAAATGAGATCATGCTAGTTGTGGAGCTATTATCGTGTTTTATTGTGAATTCAATTACGGTGGGCGCTTGCAGTCTCGCTGCTGTTTTCGCGATGCACGCTTACGGTCAACTCAACATGTTATTTTCATGGTTAAATAATCTCGTTATGGATGAGAACAAGGGAAACGAGTATGCTGAACAAAAGCTGGCTGCTATCGTGGAGCATCATTTAAGAGTGCTGAGGTATTTTATTTAAATATCGAGATTCGTCGATCCGAGATGTTAGCGCGTTTATATCATAGATAAAAATTCTTTTCAATCATAATCTAACTAAGCATTTCCATATTAAATAAAATATTTTTATTTCTATATTTTATATATATATTTATATTGAATAATGTAGACACAGATATTTCCTTTATTAAAGAAAACTGCGTTAGATCTCATACGTTTCAGTTTTATATCGCGCATGGAAAATATTATGCAAAATATCTGCCTCGTAGAATTGGTGGGATGCACAATGAATATGTGTTTGCTTGCATATTATTCTATTACGGTACGCTAAAGATTTAAAAAGGTGAATATATATTATAGCAGACTTTTACTTGTTTATGTATAGAATATTAAATGTAATGTCTCCGATTTCATAGAATTGGAGTGATTTTGATGCAGCAAAAATAATGTCATATATTGTTGTATATGTATCTATGGCTTTTAATATTTTTATATTTTGTTACATTGGTGAAATTCTCACGGAACAGGTAATATCCTAAATTTGATAAATTTTTAAATACGTAGTTTATTATTACAACATTAGGTAATTAAATTGCTGATTGCATTAAAATTTCTTTTTATTTTCTAAAATAATGTTCTTAATTTTCTTCATTTTTTAGAAAATGATTATAAAAAGCTTTAAAATATTTTTATTTATTTATTAGTGCAAAAATGTTGGCGAAAAGGCCTATATGACTAATTGGTATGATTTACCGCACAAAACTGCCCTTGGTCTCGTTTTGATAATAGCGCGATCGAGTAATGTTATCAAGATAACTGCTGGAAAATTATTTCAATTGTCTATTGCGACTTTTGGTGATGTAAGTAAAACATATATTGCACTTATAAATGGGATATTGTATTAATAAAAGTTTAATACATTTTTTTATACTAATTTTTTATATTAATAAATTATTACAACGTATATTCCTTCATATCTTTCTCCTATTTATTCTTATTTGTTCTCCTTATGAATCTTTTATTATTTTGGAGTCATATTCACTCACGTTTAACATTAATGTTCATGCTCTAATGTTAAATTTATCGAAGTGCAATTAATTGTACCATAAATAGGAAGGAGAGTTTCTTGTTTCAGGTCATTAAGACTTCTGTGGTATATTTAAATATTTTAAGAACGATGACTCCCACGTAAACTAAATAAAATTTAGAAAACAAATATATTTTATATAGAGTATAGATGTGATTTGAAAAATAGAAAAAATATGTAATAAATAAAATAAACTATATTATATATTATACTCATATTAATTATTTTTCATGATAACTTTGGCAGTATCTGCATTTTGCAATATATAATATTACGAGAAGTTGATTTTAAAATTAAAAATATTAAGATTTTTTATAAAATATATGTGTATGTATGCATATACAGGGTGAGTTTTAATGCTTGTGTCAATCTTTTTATCGTGCGGGAGATTACCAATTGCATAATAAATTGATCGATACATAAATGTCAATTATTTGGATCGATCGTATCTAAGGTCCGAATATAATGTGTCCAATTAAAGCAAATTAATAGCTGAAATGATGTAGTATGGATTTATTATTATTATTATTATTAAAGCTACATATTTATTCTTATTATTATTACTATTATACATATTATATTCGGGCCTTCGATACGGTCGATTCAAATAATTGACATTTATGTACCAATCAATTTATTATGCAGACGATAATCTCCCACATGATAAAAAGATTGACATAAGCATTAAAACTCACCCTGTATATATATATATATATATATATATATATATAATATAATATATTTTGTATAGAACGAATAAAAAATATATTCTCTTAAACTACAACAAAAATAAGAATTTATTAAATTTTCTCTGGCAACTATAACTAATTTTTAATGTCTCATAAGGTTTTAGTTTCATTAGCAATCAAAAGTAATTACTAATTTAATTAATACAAAAATATGTTTGAAACACACATCTTAATTTTGAAAACATTAATAATTAAAATACAATACATTAATTTGTGGCAATGTGGATAACAAGTATATATCATCGTATAATAAATAAAAAATTACATGAGACATTTAATTGCTTGATTTGAAGTTTTAAAATAGTAAATCAAATATTATGGCAGCAAATAGGGAGATTATTATTTCGAATAATATTAAAAATTCTTTGGGATATACAAATTTACTACAAATTATTGGCGTAAAGTATAAATCATGACAAGTAAAACAAAATGTTGAATTTAATATTTTGCATATATTACAGATGGAATATTTTTTCCAAATAGAAAAAAATTTTAAAATAATTGTAATAATTATATAATCGTATATCTAATGCAATTTAAATTTGATAATCAGCACTATAAATAAGATTTGTGAGAGAGCTATAAACTTACAAATCAAATACTTGCAGTTAAAAGAATTGGCTATCTAATTTTGGTAATATAAATTTCATTTGTTGTATCAATTATAAAAAAATCTATTTTTTTTTTCACTTTCTTCTTTTGAAGCCAATCGAAGCGCAGATTTATTATATTAATCAATTTCTGAATGCTGTTTTGAATCAATAAAATTAATAAATAAAATATAACTAATAGACAATATCAATGATAATGCCAAAGATTTGTATTACATTTTTTAAAATAAAGATGCAAAAAATAAAACATAATAAAATTATTTTATCGACACAATAAAATAATCCCATCAACAGAATGAATGCGTGAATGAATTGCGTGACCCAGCTCTTATTGCGTTCAATCAGCTGTCATGCGATAAACTCATCGCTGCTTGAATTTGTTACCACCGTAAATATCGATTGCTTAACAACTATGTGTATTATTCGAAAGTATAGTCTACAAAATGCGCAAGCGTTATTCTATGACTATCGTCCATCGTTTTTTTTTTTTTTGTTAATCCGCTCAATTGTGTTCGTGCGCTTGCGAAGCGAACATGAAGAGTTCTCTGCAACATGTTCCGATCATATTTAATTATATAGAGGACAAGGAGTATAGCATACAGCCGATTCGTTGGCTTTTGAGGCCGATAAGCATCTGGCCAGTATCGAACTCAATCAAGGAAAGGATTCTATCGATGGTGTTACTGCTATTGTGCATTTTTCTCATTATCAGTACTTTAATACCTTGTGCACTGGCTATTTTTCTCGATGAGACCAAGGACGTCGAGGCCAAGGTACACGATTTCGGACCTCTCAGCAATTGGGCACTCGCAAGTCTCAAATACTGCTCATTGCTGATGCATGTCGGTGACATACGTCGATGTATCGAACACATCGAATCAGATTGGCGAGCCGTGACAAAAATCGAAGAGCGAGAAATAATGTTGAAGAGTGCCAGGATTGGTCGTTTCATCGCGATATTTTCTGCAATTTTCGTGCATAGTGGAGTGTTCTCTTACAGTATCTTCCAAGCAATGACGTTAAACAAGACTATCGCCGATAACGTGTCAGTGCATTCTCTGCCTTTTGCATTTTATGATAAGATTTTGGATACTACGAGAAGCCCGGCGTACGAGATAATGTTTATGATACAATGTTTATCCACATTTGTAGTAAATTCCATAGTGATAGCCAGTTGCTGTGTCACCTCCGTCTTCGTAATGCATGCCTGTGGTCAATTAAAGATTCTAATGTCCTTATTAGATAATTTTATTGACGAAAATGAAAAGAGAGATTTTTCACAGCAAAAATTCGCAGTAGTCGTTGAACATCATTTAAAAGTACTTAGGTGAAAAATAAATGAATAATTTAATTAGATTTTAATTTTTTTTCGCGAAATTTCAATTTATCTTTATAGCCTTATAAAAGCTAAATAGTTTCTTTAATTAATCAGATTTTTAGTATAATTTTTAATAAATATTTTTATATTACATAATTAAAATGGATTTACTTATCTTTTTTTTTTGAATTAATAATATATCAGATATTGATACATTAACCTTATTCATTAAATGAATATGTTCTGAAATGTGCGTCTTAATACAATATAATAATCATTCATATATATATATATGAAAAAAGTGAGCAAATAATTAATTATTATAGTGTTTATTACTAAATAGCATTTATTACTAAATATCTTTTTAGCTTCGTGTCTCACATAGAAAAAATTACAAATGTTGTTTGTCTTGTTGAAATAGGGGGATGCACAATGCATATGTGCCTTTTGGGGTATTATTGTATATTGGTAGGCACACATAAAATTCATCGTAAAATATTTATCATTCGTTTTATTTATTTTTTGTAATAAGTAACTAATCTTTTTCAGGAATGGAATCAAGATAGCAAAGAAGGTATAGTGGCGTATGTTATAATATTGATCTCTGTTACTTTCAATATTTTTATATTTTGTTACATCGGAGAGATCCTTTCAGAGCAGGTAATTATAATGGCACCCTATATAAAAAAGCAAAACTATATCAAATATTTCTTTTGCTTAATAAGAAGTTGAATAATCCAGAACAAAATAATTAATTTCGTATTTAAATTTCATTAAAATGCTATACTGCCGCGGACGTATTTTCCGATTTAATCGTAACAGATGTATAAAATGGATTATAATAGTGCGATCAAATTGGCGAAACCGCCTATATGACAAATTGGTATTTATTACCTGGAAACAGTGCTCTCGGTTTTGTTTTGATAATTTTACGTTCTAGCATCGTGGTCAAAATTACTGCTGGAAAAATGATTGAACTTTCCCTTTCTACCTTTGGTATTGTAAGTACACGAAAATGTATCTCTCGATTTAAATAGATATGTAATTGTTACATGAGTAACATCTTATGTAGATATAATACAGATATATAATATAGATTCTTCAAAAATAAATGGATTATTTTAAAATTAATTTTTCTTCTTTTATTATTTAAATAAATATATTCTTTAAAACGACAACATGACTTATAATTGTTTCAGGTAATTAAATCTGCATTAGCATATTTAAACATACTTCGTACTCTTATTATGTAAATATTAATAATTTTTTTATATATTAAATAGAAAAATGATAAATAGCGAATAATATTTAAGTACAGATTAGTAAGTGATTAAATAATTAAATAATAATTATATTTCTGTGAGAATATTATGTAATATTTTTCTCTGTTCTCAAAGTAAAATTTAGACATTTGTTCGCTTTTTTAAATTTGCAATATATACTTTACTGTATATAATTGTGTTAATAAAATTAATTATTTCATTCTTTGTTAAATCATGATCATGATGCTACATATAACTGCACACTCAAAACTAATACTCGATGCACGAAACTTCAAGTATCGATTACGCTTTTTCTACCTGTTGCCGCGGCAATATTGCACATGACTACAATAATACACAATAATACATGGATAAAGACTATCTTGCGCATTATGTGCCATCTTCAATGTCTGCGCACGCGCTGACTGTTTCTACTGTGTATAACAACAAAGGGATAGCTCAGTAAACTAGCTACCTTCGTCAGAAAATCATGGGACACGATTCCATGAATAATCCTGATATTGTTGCATCTACATACTTAGTCGACAACGAATATAGTATTCAAATAATACGTTGGATTCTCAAGGCGATTAATCTATGGCCACGATCTACCGATATTTCGATCGTTGAAAAGGCCCTTTCTAAATTTCTGATATTTGTATGCTACTTTCTGATGATCACCACCATGATACCGAGTGGTCTGAGTATCTTTATGGAGTCGCAGGAGACCTTCGAGGACAAGTTGCGTAGCTTCGGTCCTCTCACCTTCTGGTTCATGGCAATGATAAATTATTCCTGTCTGCTGATGCATGTCGATGACATAAGCAGCTGCATAAAACACGTAAAAACGGATTGGCGGCTTATTAAAAAAATCGAAGATCGACAGCTAATGCTGAGAAACGCTAAGATAGGTAGATTTATCGCCGGTTTCTGCGCCGTGTTCATGCATAGTGGTGTGTTTTCGTACAACGTCGCGCGAGGATTCTCCAAGGATGTTTTATACATGGAAAATAGCAGTGTGATAGTTCGCGCATTACCTTATCCTTTCTATAGCAAGATCCTGAACGCGCATTTCAGTCCGGCGTACGAATTCGTATTCTTTCTACAGTGTTTCTCCACCTTTGTCGTTAATTCCATCACGGTCGCCGCATGTGGTCTCGCGGCAGTTTTCGTGATGCATGCGTGCGGCCAGTTGAAAATTTTAATGTCCTGGTTAGACAATCTTGTGGATGGACAAAATGAAGAGAGACATTCCATGAGACAAAGATTCGCCATCATTGTGAAACATCATCTAAGAGTGTTGAGGTAAGCTGTTATTTTTGTTACACACATATATATATATATATATATATATATATATATATATATATAATATTTTCTGACATTTTATGTCATGTCTAAATCATAAATTTAATTCTAAAGTGATACTAAAGAATTAATATAAGAAAATTTTTTCAATGTAAATTTTATGCAAAATTCAATTGAACAAGAATTATAAGATAGATAGGAAGATTAGAATTATAATAGAGTATGATTATATTTGCAGTTTTGTATCTCGTACAGAGAGAATTACGAATATAATATGTCTCGTAGAATTAGTCGGATGTACGATGCATATATGTCTTTTAGGATATTATTGCATTATGGTATGAATATATATTTCAGAATATAATACTTATTCTCATTTTATTATTTATTTCGTATATATTTCGTATATATTTCGTATATATAACCCTAACATTCTTTGATTTCGTATATATAACCCTAACATTCTTTTTAGGATTGGGTGCAAGATAACAAACAGAATATTATTTCATATTGTATAATATTAACTTCGGTTACTTTTAATATTTTTATATTTTGTTACATCGGGGAGATCCTTTCCGAGCAGGTAATAATTCATAAACTGAAAGTAAAAATAGAAAGTTTTATGCTATAAAAAAAAGAAATAATGCCATATAGTTCATATAATCATGAAATTTATTGAAACGAAAGAGTGTTAGAATTTCTTCAATTGCATTATAACGGTATATAGGTGTATATAAAACGGCCTTTAATAGGGCGAACAAGTTGGTAAATCTGCTTATATGACGAATTGGTATCTTTTACCTGGGAAAACAGCTCTCGGACTCGTTTTGATAATTTTAAGATCTAACACTGCCCTTAAAATTACTGCTGGAAACATTGTTCAGCTCTCATTTTCTACTTTCGGTGATGTGAGTGATGCAAAGATATATTATTTATTTCATATCTCTTTGAAAAATACATATATTTATATTTTTAAATATTTAAATATTACATAAAAAGTATACCATACATACACGATAATATAATGTATATATGATATATTCTAATTCTACAGATATATGTTTTTCGAAATATAAATCGTATGAAAAAATGCTTTATGTATGTATATAGGCAACATTTTTTCACACAATTTATATTCGAACAGATATATACATAATTTAAATATATTGTATATATATTATGCTACAGTATATTTAATATATTTATTAATATAATATATGAATATTTAGAATTGTAAATATATTTTTTTCATAGAAAAATGAATTCTTTTTAAATAAATGTGTAATTTTTAATTATTTCAGGTAATTAAATCTGCATTAGCATATTTAAACATACTTCGAACGTTAATTACATAAATAATAACATAATCATAGCGAAATCATATAGTGAAAAAACAATACAATATAGACAATTTATTATAAAATAATAAATATAGGGATTTAATAAATTTATTATGTAATATTTTTCTATTTTGAAAAAAGCACACATTTTTTGACGCGTCAAATTAAAAAAGTATAATCTTCTAAAGTAATATTTTCATTTATTGTTAATGAAAATTTACGTAAATTTTCAATATAAATTTTAATCCTCGAATAAACATGCGTAATTTTCTGAAAACTGATGAATTTTGTAACATAAAAATATATTATAATTATTCATGCAACTTATAATTACATTATATTACATATAATTTTAAAAGAGTAAAATCTTTAATATTTAATATAAATATAATTATATATTAAATATAATATTAGATATAAATAATTTTTTTAATTCGATTTTGTAGAGATTATTATAGATTATTATTTTATAGATTATTAAATATATAGAAATATTTCGTTTATCAAAGTAAATCACACACAAGCTTCACTATTTATAATTTGTTATCATATATTTTTTTCATCGAATATCATTACATTGTATAATTATCGTTAATATACCGTAATATCAAGAAATATCTTTATCAACCCATAGAAGTTTAATAGAGAAATTTATTTTACTGTACTTACTGTGAGTATAGGTACAGAATGAAAGACATAAAGTAGAAAATGGTCTGCTATTTACAAAAAAATATGAAGCAGGAAACGAACCCTCTACACACACATTACGCATAAATAATATTCTCAGAATTCTATTTGAAACTTCCTTATCTGTATCCCTTCAAAAGGACTGCACGCAACATGCAATGAAGTTCCAGAAAGTAGAACCTATCGAAGTCTCATTAATAATAAAATGACGAAGTAGGAAGGATCAATTGCGTTTATACACGGACGCATGAATGTCCAGAGGTAGAAAACGCACATGCGCGTACCCCATGATCAGTTCGCTCAAGCTCAGTCAGTTGCGTGTGTCGTTACGATTTAGTCATTTACCATGTATAATCATTCAAAGTCTCTCGAGTCTATTATGGACGGATGGAACTATAGCATCCAATTGAACCGATGGTTCCTGAAACCAGTCGGCGCGTGGCCTCTGACACTTTGCGAGACCACGATGGAGAAGATCAGCTGCGTGATTTTGTCAATGATCAGCTGTTTCCTGATATGTTTTTTGCTCGTTCCGTGCACTCTCGGCACCATTCTTGTTGACAGCGACCTTGATATGAAAATCAGAATGATCGGTCCAATCAGTTTCTTCCTAATGGCCGTGGTAAAACAATATATTCTCATCGCCCGCAGCGAACGTATCACTGAATGCATTCGACACATTCGCGCAGACTGGAATAGAATCACACTGAATCGCGAAAAGGACCGACAGATCATGTTAGACAATGCCAAGTTTGGCAGATGGCTTTCTTTCGTCAGCGCAGTTTTCATGTATTCCGGTGGCTTCTTTTATACCACGCTGATGCCACTCTGCGCGAAAAGAACGGAAATAATCGATAACGAGACAGTGAGATTATTGTCCTTTCCGATCTATCGTGGCCTCCTCGATCCACGAACCAGTCCGTCTTTTGAGATCGCTCAGTTCACGCAAACTCTAGCAGGTTACGCCATTTACACCCTCACTATCGGTGTCTGCAGTTTGGCTGCGGTATTCGTCATGCACGCTTGCGGTCAATTCCGGATTCTTATGCTAAAGCTGGAGAATCTTGCGGATGGAAAGGAAAGAAAGAGTGGAAAAACACCTGAAGAAAGACTCAGCGACATTATACAATATCACATCAGAATATTAAGGTAATGTGCACATTAATTTCCGTATTAATAATATCTTGTAATCGCTATTTATATATGAAGAAAAATATATGCAAGCGTAAAAAGAATTAACTAGATAAACAAAAAACTTCTCTACAAAATATCAGACTTCTCATTTAAATTGATATACAAAATTATATTTAAAATAATAATTAATTATATTAATTATTATATTATAATTATATTAATATATAAAATGTTAATATATATAATTATATTTATATTAATATGTAATTATATTAATATACAAAATGAATAAAAATTTTGATATAGAGAAATCTTTATTATTGATAATTTCAACTATTATGAACAATATTATTACAAATGAAATAAAAGAAAATATTTCAACTTTCTATAGTTTTTATAGTTAATTAATAGGTAATTTACAGTTTTATAACTCGTACAGAGGAATTATTAAATGAGATTTTCTTCGTGGATGTAGTGGGATGTACGCTCAATATATGTTTCTTGGGATTCAATATGATGACGGTACGAAATATAATCGCGGAAAATATTTTAGATACATAACGCAATATAAAACTAACCGTTTTCTTGTTCATGACATTTTGATGTTAGTCTTTTAGGAATGGGAACATCGTGAAACTTTAGGAACGATGACATTCTGCTCGTTACTTATATCTTTCACGTTCAATATATTTATTCTTTGTTATATTGGAGAACTCCTTGCCGAACAGGTACTTAAATACATTATACAAGCCTTGTAGTAAAGAATTATTTGATATTTGCAATTTCAATTAAAAGTGAAATTAATCTGAGAACTCGAAAAAACTAATGTAAATTTAATTTTTCCGATTAATTAATCATTATTTCTCTCAAGTCAAAATATTTAATTATATTAAATTTGATTTTTTATAAGAAGGAATCCAAACTTTTCGTTATATCACAAAAATCTAATGTGATATAAATAATTCCGCTAATTGCATAAGAATTATTTTCAATAAAAAGCATCAATCAAATTTTTTAACAGTGTACACAAATTGGCATAAAATCTTACATGATAAACTGGTATTATTTACCGAATAAAGGTGCGCTCGGTTTAATATTAGTAATGTCCATGTCCAATACCACGCTTAAACTCACAGCAGGAAAATTTATGGAATTATCTTTGGCCAGTTTTTGCAGCGTAAGTAGATAACAATAGAACTATTTATCGCGTGCATAATATAAATAAAAGACAAGAAACATTTCAGATTATGAAAGCAGCCATGGCTTATCTAAATTTACTTCGTACTTTTTACGTCTAATAAAGTCGGCAGTATTGTTCCTAAAATATAGATTTAATACAAATTAAATATACGTTAGCATATCAATATTCGTCAACACATCATTTTAAGTAAATTATTATTTATACAAATATAAATTAAAAATATATAAATAGAAATAAATTTAGGAAATTGATTAACAGGATTGAAGCTGTGAATTTAAAATTAATTACGTTCACGATAAAATTATAGATTATATGTTACAATTAAATATAAAATGTACAATAATTCAACGCACATACTTATACTTTATCTGCGATACTTTCAATATTGCGTTACGCACTACGGAAATACTGGAAACGCATATATCCGCGAAACTATGTTAGAACTCGTCGTAAACTTCATATCCCTACGCACTTTCAGTCATCATCGAACCCTCGGACATGCAATGACTGAGAAAGGGGATAACCCCTCGCATACGCATGTAATCTTGTGACTTTGTTACACATGATAGGCATAAATCGCACATGCACGCGATCGCGGAATCATTATTCCCCGCGCTTGCGTTGCCTCGCGGACGTCGTGACGCCGCCGTCTGCGTGTTTCAGTCGGCGTTTACACCCCCAGGGACGACAGCATGCACGATCGATCCCGACTTCCGGATAAGATATACAATGTACATTACGAGGATGATATACGTTTTACTATGCAGCTATGTTGTTGGATCCTGAAGCCGATCGGCATCTGGCATTTCGTTTACGGCCGCTCGTCGCAATACAAGAAAGTGCTTTCGATAATGCTAATTTTCGCATGCTTTTCCGTTTTGTGTCTCGTGCTTGTACCTTCCGCTCCACATACTTTACTTCGCGAGAAAGACATCAATAATAAGCTGAAGTTCATCGGTCCAGTTGCCTTCTGCCTAACTTCCGCAATAAAGTATTGCTTCCTGGGAATGCGCGGTACGGCGATTGGAAGATGCATCGAGCATATCGAGCACGACTGGCAGGTGATTCAATATCAGAACCATCGCAAGATAATGCTGAGGAACGCATTAGTGGGCCGTAGACTCACCATGTTGTGCGTGATCTTCCTTTACACCGGTGGAATGTCTTTTCATACGATTATGCCGCTGTCATCCAGGACGAAGACAAATGGCAGCTACACGGATAGACCGCTGGTTTATCCTGGCTACGATATTTACTTCGATTCTCAGGCAAGTCCTGCCTATGAGTTCGTCTTTCTCTTACATTGTCTATCTGCTGTGATCCAGTACAGTGCCACAACAGCGGCATGCAGTTTGGCAGCGGTTTTTGCGACCCACGCGTGTGGACAACTGCAGATATTAATGACGCTGTTAGACGATTTGGTCGACGGAAAAGAAAACAAAAACACCACCGTGGGCAAACGTCTGATTCTAATAACGAGGCATCATATGCGTGTACTGAGGTGAGATAAAAATGGGAAAAATTTCTGAATAATTTCGACGAGTGCTTCTAGATTCATGGCGCGTTTATAGATTTACGACCGACGTGGAGAAAGTATTACATGAAATATGTTTGATAGAATTGGTGGCTGCAACTTTGATTATATGTTTAGTTGAATACTATTTCATGACGGTAAGAATAATGTAATAACAGTAATAATGTGTTAAATGATAGTCACACAATTTTTTTCATCATTCATGTAGTTTCTTATATTCAAAATCATAATAATATCATAATAATAATGAATTATAATGATAAAAATATTTTTCTCTTTCATATTGATAAATAATAAATATGTAGTTGTACATTTGCCTTCTCAGGAATGGGAAAATAATAATGCTGTGGCAATCCTCACATACTTTATTCTACTGATATCTGTACCGTTCAATTTTCTAATATTTTGTTATATTGGAGAGCTCGTTGTAGAAGAGGTATTTCTCTTTCTCTTTCTCCTTTACATATAATAATATTATTAACAAGAATTATTATTTTTTTTACTTTAATCATATCTTATTTGCAAAAAAGGAGCAATAATCATGATACAGCTTTAGCATTATTACAGTCATACTACAAATGTTAAACAAAATTTTGCATATTAAAATGAATAATATATTAGTATTTATATGATGTGTAGAATAATAATGTACATACATTTTATTAGTATAGCAAAATTGCTTCAGCCGCATATGAAGTTAATTGGTACGACTTGTCTGGTCATAAAGCTCTCGATCTTATATTGATTATTACAATGTCTCATTATCCACCCAAGTTTACGGCTGGCAAGTTCTGCGATTTATCCCTGAATACTTTTAGCACTGTAAGTCTCATAGAAGATTTATTTATACTTCAATTTATTATTAATATATTTTAATAATTATTATAATTTATTTCTATTCATATTTTCATAGAAAGATTATATTCGGGATATTAGAAAATATATTTTACATTTTTACTTATTTTTATTACATTTATTATATAGTTTTATGTATCTCTAAAGCTTATACTGCTTTCAGGTTCTTAAAACATCTGTAGTATACCTTAATTTGCTTCGAACAGTTACACAGTAAAATATTTTTATCTTTTTTTATTAGTTAATAGTTTAATATCATTAAACTATTATTAATTCAATTGCAAAAATTTATTATAAATATTTTTTCTCCCAACAAATATTATGTAAAAATTGATAAAACACTAATATGATCTCTCTCACATCAATCGTTATCTATTTGATCAATTATAAAATATTTAATAAAATATTAATATTAAATAAAATTATAATATTACCATATATATATAATCAAATGTATATATAGAAAAAATATATTATATATTTAAAAGTTAATATATTATATGTTATATATATATATATATATATATATATATATATATGTGTATGTAAAATATTAGAAAACATATACATTGCACACACAATTGTATCTTAATAAAAACATACATTAATTATACATTAATTATATGTAATGATTGCATACGTAACATTTCAGAAATCGCGAAAACGGATGATTACGATGAATTGCGTACTTGAAAGACATTGTGGATTACATGCGTGCAACTATGTTAGAACTTGTCATGAACTTCACATCTCTTTGCACCCACATATTACAACACCCTCAGACGAACAATGACCGTAGAAAAGTCAATCGTCTACGTATGTATGGTTTACCACATATGACAGACATGAAACGCACGCGGAATCATTATTCCCCGCGCTTGCGTCGCGTTGCGAACATCGGGACGCCGCCGTATGCGAGTTTCAGTCTTCGTTGCACCTTGCGAGCGACAGCATGCGCGATCGATCCCAACTTCCAGAGCCCATAATCGAGCACAATGTACACTATGAGCACGACATACGTTACACCATGCAGTTGTGCCGATGGGTCTTGAAACCGATCGGTATCTGGCACCTCATCTATGGTCATGCGTCGCGAAATGAAAAGCTCATTTCCCTAGCACTGATAATCATGTGCTTCTCCGCTCTGTGCTTCGTCTTGATACCTTCCGGACTGCATACTTTGTTCTACGAGAAGGATATTAACATCAAAGTCAAGCTCTTCGGTCCGGTCGGTTTCTGTCTGACTTCCACGATCAAGTATTGCTATCTTGGTGCGCGCGGCGCCGCATTCGGAAAATGCATTCGGCATGTCGAGAACGACTGGTGGGCCGTTCAATATCAAGATCATCGCAAAATGATGCTGAAGAATGCGCTGGTTGGCCGCAGACTTACCATGTTATGCGTGATCTTTCTTTATACCGGTGGATTGTCCTATCATACAATCTTGCCGTTATCTTCTAGGCAAGTCAGCGGGAATGTCACGCACAGACCGCTCACCTATCCTGGCTACAACCTCTTCTTCGATCCTGAAGCCAGTCCAGTTTACGAGATAGTGTTTTGTATCCACTGTCTGTTTGCGCTAATTACGTATAACATCACGACAGCAGCATGTAGTTTAGCAGCGATCTTTGTGACGCACGTGTGCGGACAACTACAAATATTAATAACGCTGTTGGACGATCTGGTCGAAGGAAAAAGGAACAATAATACTACTGTGGAGCAACGTCTAGGAAACTTAACGAGACATCATATGCGAATACTGAAGTGAGTAAAAAATATGAAGATTACCTAAATAAATAATAAGGCACGTTTCGCAGATAAATACGATGCTAATACACTTCCAGATTTTCTGACAATATAGAAAAAGTGCTACGCGAAATATGTTTAATGGAATTAGTGACTTCCACTTTGATTATATGCTTACTCGAATATTATTGCTTAACGGTAAAGGGTAATGTTATGATAATAGATATTACGATAATTATCACAATAATATAATAGCTTTTCTAAAGTTGCACAAATTCTTAGTTTGAAACTCACTGAATAAGTTTTATCGAATTTTGTAATAATCATACGTTTTTTTGCCTTCTCAGGAATGGGAGAATAGTGATGCTACAGCCATTTTAACTTATTTTATTCTATTAATTTCCTTTACATTTAATATTCTAATATTTTGTTATATCGGTGAACTCCTCGTGCAACAGGTAAATCTTTATATTCATAAGACTATATTATGAGAAAATTTTTTACGGATTTATTTAAATACATTGTGTGCGTTTAATTTAAAAAATTGTTAATAAAATAAAAATTAAAAAATTTTAATTTCATTATTGCTATATATTTTTGAAACAAATTTTAAAAATATATATTTTACCTATTTATTTTATTTTAATTGATTTTAGTTATTGAATTCAGTGTGCAAAAATAATACGCTTGATAATCATATACATATATAATTAAATACAAATACAATTTAGAAATCAATAATATATAATATCTGTGATGGTATTTTAATATAGTTTGCAGCACATTATAGATGTTTGAGTAATATATCCATATAAATACATATATTCATATTAATCTCTTTGCATTTTCATCAGTATAGCAAAATTGGTTCAGCTGTCTATAACATCAATTGGTATGATTTATCTGGAAATAAAGCTCTTAGTCTCGTATTGATTATCATGATGTCTCATTATCCACCTAAACTTACAGCTGGCAAATTTTTTGATTTATCTATTTACACATTTGGTGTCGTAAGTTCTTTGCTAAAATTAATGTTTTATTGAAATTGTGTCAAACACAATTATTAATTTATTTTTATATATTCTTTTCTCTCTCAAAAACAAGATATATATTGCATACTTTTATAATTCACAATCACATTTTATAATATTTCGTCATATTATAAAATAATATCACAAAGTCACATTATATTTATTATATTAAAACGTTTGTTACTCTTTCAGGTACTTAAAACATCCGTGGTGTATTTAAATTTGCTTCGGACAGTTACACAATAAAAAATTTTAATATTTTTTATTATAGAGTTCCTATATAATATTATAGTAAGAATTTGTTATAAAAATATATTTTTTTGTTCCGAACAGATATATATCTTAAACATTTATAATAAATATATTTGATTAATCTAAAATATTAATAAAACAATTATATTATTATAATTATTATAATACTACTATTATAATCAAATGTGTAGCAAAAAATATACATCTAAAATAATTTATATTCCATTATACATAATATAAATAAAAATTAATAAATACGAATATTAAATTTCTATTTATTCTTTTGAAATCTAAATCATATACAGTGCATAATTAAATCGTATGTAATGATTGTGTATAATATATGTATATTTTAGAAATCGTGAAATTGCATTCTATAAATTTTAAGTGCTTGAAAGTGAAACTACGTAATATGTACGTGTAACTACATCAAAACTGGTCATGAATTTCTATCCGTTTAAGCTCGTATATTATGTAGAACGAATTATTAAATAAATATTTAAATAACTGTGGGAAAATCAATTGCTTGCCGATATATAGTTGATTACATATGATAAATATGATACGCACACAATCTTGATCATTAGCCTCGCGCTTACGTTTCATCAGACAGTCATCGTATCTATATTCTAGTCTTTGTCGTTTTTCACAGACGACAGCAGAACGCACGAAATTTTGATTTCGATTTCTAAAATCGACGTTCAAAACATTGCATAATACATTACAAAAACGAGATACAATGGATTTTCAAAACCGATCGATATCAGCCACCTCATCTGCAATAACAAGTAGTACAAATATTAAAATGAGTAGAAAATGTAAAGATTGTATAGATAAATCTTATGTGACGCATTTTTAGATTTATAAATTAACACGTGATACTCATTTCCAGATTTTCGATCAATGTAAAGAAAATTCTACGCGAAATTTGCTTAATAGAATTGATCGTGTCCACTTTGATTATATGTTTATTTGAATATTGCTTAACGGTAAAAAGAATATCATTGTCATATCTCAATGTAATAATAATATTAATAATTTTTAAAATTCTTAAAATTTTGCATAAATTCTTGATTTGTACCAAAAGAAGAGAATAACATAACCATACAAAATTTGAACTTTTCAAATTTTGTATGGTAGTTATGTTATTCTCTTAGGAATGACAGAATAATGATGGTAAGAGCAAAGTAATGGCAGAGTAATGGTGGCTTTTGACCTATTTCATTTTATTTGATTTTCTTTAATATTCTGATATCGACTAATGGATATCTAATTCGATTTAATTCGATCTAATTCGATTATGATATCCTATTTGATTTGCAATTAATGCCCGTTTACGTATTCTTTTTACTGCGGTCAGGAATTATATTAATTCCCGTGGAAAAACCTTAGAGAAAAACTAAAAAAGAATGCAGAAAGTTTCAATAATACATTGCTATTATTCAATATCATGCATTGAAATAAGTACTCTCTGACTTGCTACCTGTTGCATCTTCAGAAGAGAATTGTCTGCATATTTCAATAATAGTATTTATATGAGAAAATATATTTATATCTCAATGTTAAATTTACTAAAAATTATAAAAATTAAAATCTTGTAGATTTTCAGTCGACATCAAGGACACTTTACGCGAGATTATGTCTTATCGAATTAAATATGTTAAATAAATAATTTAATGCACAAAAGATGCTAGAAATAATGATGAGAACGTTTCACTTTTACCTATCTATAAAAACACATAAAAGAAATGCAATGTATTAATGACAATGTACATTTAATTATATTTTCCAACAAAACATTATAAAATTCAATTTTTTTTAAATAATTTACTGATTATTATTATTATTATTAATTTACAATATTTATTATATATAAGAGATAATTGGCTTTTTTCTTCTATAAATTTTACTCTACTTCTTATATTTTATCATTATTTAATCTAAATAAAAATTTAGTAAAAATACTGTAAAATGCTGTAAAAGAATCCTTCTTGCAAATGATAATATGATACAATTACTATTCTTGATAAAATTGATTTTCGAAAGAAGCACATGCTTTCTTCTATCTACTTTATCGAAAATATCTATCAAAATTATGCGTCATATTAATACAATTTCTAATGCCATTTTATTTTATATTATAGCAAATTTTTCTCTTTTGCACAAGTTGAAATACTAAGTTGCATATTCTTAACAAAAATATTAAATATACAACAGAAATGAATTTTTTAGCAAGTTATCTTACAAATAACACAATAAATGCTTTAACATTCGAGATCACACAATGTTAATCACGTACAATCAGACAGACTGTTCATAACTAAAAGAATGTATTACAAAGTGAGCGTAAGCGCATGTCCGGCGACCTTGTAATCAATGATGCGCGTCTGACTCGTGTAGTCTTCATCAAGCATTGTTATCGCGAACATGCCGAATGTACAAGACGAGCACGACTCGAGCTATAGGGAAGACATTCGGAATGTTTTCAAATTGAACAATTGGATTTTAGGCTCAATCGGCATCTGGCCAGTCGCCATTCGCGGTATTGGACGACACACGTCCAAAATTGCGATCGCGCTCTGCAATTTCGCGCTTAGTTTTGCATTAATACCATGTGCCTTGTATATCATCTACGACGAAAAGGACATCATCATGAGGTTGAAGTTATGCGGTCTTCTGGCCTTCTGTCTCACCGCAATGACAAAATATTGCATCCTCACGATACGTCGCCCTAAGATACTACGCTGCATCGAATACGTGAAAAGCGACTGGTGGCAGGTTGGTGTTGTCGTTAATATTATGTCAAATAAATATTATGTTAATCTGGAGAATTTATAAAGACAAATTAAAAACAGAGTTCACGCGTGAATTTATAATTAGCATTCATGTGATTAGATAATTATATTTATCGAATACATGATAGTTATAGTTAATTAAAAAGTGCATCCATTTCGAACAATTTTATTAGAGCGTAATAATTGTTATATTAATATAATATAAAAAGTAGAAGTGAAATGTGTGATTAATTAAATCATTTTTCTATGTACAATAAAGGTAGTCATTACACATTTACAGAAAAAAATGGCAATTATTGCATTATTAAATTCGTAAATGTTTCTTTATATAATAATAAAAAATATTATTAGCAATCTTATGATAGGTGACATTCAGATCTGATCGCGAAGTGATGCTGAAGTACGCTGCCATAGGTCGCAATCTAACGATTATCGGAGCATCATTCATGTATACCGCTGGTATCATTTATTATATGATCTTGATTCCATTTTTTTCCGACAACAAAGTCAATAATCAAACTGTCAGACCGCTAGTGTATCCAATTTATAGTAAATTTCGTCAATCTCAAATTACTCCGGTGTATGAAATTGTGTACGTAGCTCATTGCATGTGCGGATATACGATATATTCGATAACAGCGGGTGCGTGCGGACTTGCCGCCTTATTCGCCACTCACGCATGCGGTCAAATTGAAATGATCGTATCACGATTAGAAGATCTCCTAGATGGTACAAGATTTAAGGAAAATTCGGAAATTCATCAACGAATCGCTGCCATCGTGAAGGATCATGTTCGAGTAATAAGGTAAGAACTTGAAGTAACAGTTTAATAATATTCGTAATAATTCAATAGTGCAAAAAAATTGTACATAAAAAAATTCATAATATGCAGCTTAAATTATAAATTTTAGATAAAATAATATTTATATGATGTGTGCGTGTGTATGCGTGTGTATATGTTGGAAAATATGTAATTAAAAACAAATTAAACATTAAACTAGCAATTCTCAATACAGCGCTTCGTAATAAATTATAAATATAATCGATTTCAAGCGAAAAAATTAGTTCTGATAATGAAATAAAAAGGCAATTTATTGCAAAATACTTTGCTTAATTTTTATCAGTTTATAGTGTAATAGATGTATGTCACTTTATAGCCTAATAGATATAGATATAAATAAAATGAGAAATACGCAACAGGTGGCTCCAAGAATACGTTAAATAGTTCATGTCAAACAATGCATGGGCTATAAGCATGTGATATTATATATCGCGTGCGAATCGTTATATATACTACGTACTTATACTATATACCAGTTGAAAGAAAAAGAAAGAGAGAGAAAAAGAAACAATAGAGTCATATTGAAGTAAGAATAATTGAAGCAATACATCTATATTCTTCATATAAACTAGAGTAAATTATTCCAGATTTGCGATTGTTGTCGAAGAAGTTTTACAAGAAGTATGTTTAGTAGAATTCACTAGTTCTGTATGCACAATATGTCTACTCGAATACTACTGTATAGTGGTGCGCTAATGTGTATACATAAAAAAATAACTAATAATACATAAAAAATCCATGTAAAATTATAATTCCTATCTACAATTTAATAGGATTGGCAAGAAGATAATAAACTTAGTTTAGCAAATTATTTTCTGCTCTTTGTTTCCTTCTGTTTCAATATATACATATTATGCTATATCGGTGAGCTTCTCATGGAAAAGGTATATCTTTATGATCTTCGATTATGTAACTTAATCTTAACTGCATATTGAATAATGGTTCGCAATTAATATTGCAGAGCAGTCAAATTGGATATATATGTTATATGATTAATTGGTACCAATTATCGCCAAAATCAGCTCGCAGTCTTATATTGATAATTGCCATGGCAAGCCATCCTATAAAAATTAGTGCTGGAAGAATGGTAGATTTATCATTATCAACTTTTGGAAATGTATGTAGTATATAAGGCATTATATATAAATAACATTTACACATTTTAATATACATATATATATATAATTCTAGTTTGGAATCTAAAATTATTCTTTAAAGTAAAATAATTAAATGGAAAATAAATTAATATTACAGATTTTTTTATATTGCCTTTGCATAATAATTAAACAATAATTTTTATAATAATATTTAATAATTTTAATATTCGCGTACAAGAAGACTAAATTTTAACTGAAAAAAATGACATTATATAAAAATTATTATATAAAAGTATAATTTTTCTAGGTATTAAAAACTAGTGTGGCATATTTGAGCTTCCTTCGGACGTTAGTAATGTGATTTAGATACTGTATGATCGAAATAAGTGACATATATATAAGAAATACATAGAAATTATATATATGTGACAATATATAAAATACAATATATAAAATACAATATATAAAATTTTATTTATGAGATTATTTTAAATTTCACAACTTATTCATTCACACAATGTAGAATTTAATACATTTTATACTTTTAATACTATTTTAAGAAGATATCCAAAAATTATTTTTATTTTTAGTTTTATTAATTTATTTTCTCTTTTTATTAATCGTTAAATTATATCTATTCGTGTAAAAATAAAACTTTGATTTTTTACTTCTTACAAAACTTTTCTAGACAAGTAATTTAATTTTGATATTTCAATAAAACAAAGGATGTTAAATTACAAACTTTATCACAATTTCCAAATTTTATCAAAATATCTTTTTCTTATTTTATTTTTTAAATAAACAATTATAAATAATAAATAAATTGTAGAAACTAAAATACAACGATGAATATCTATATAAAAATATCTATATAAAAATATTTTTCCTATTCAATATATAAAAAAATCTGGATATATACAATATATAAAATAATAACATATTATTTTAATGTTATAATAACATATTATTTTTGATGTTCATATATTCATTTTCCTTGCCCAATTAATTGTTGTCACTGAATAATATCTGCATCAAATAAATAATTTTAATAATATATTCTTACTCTATTTTTTATAAAGAATGCAAACAAATAATACAATCTTTACATTTAAATAAAACTGTAAACTATTAAGACAAATTATATAATTTTTCTATAGATTTTTTTTATAGATTTATTAATTTCATTTCTTAAACAATTAAATTTACATAAATGCGAAATAATGGAATTGTTTGATCCATTTATATAATTGCAAAAGCAAAACACCATGCATGATCATTTTGATTACTAGTAAGCACACAATCTGTCAAACTATCAACACATCTAACTTTTCTACTATATGAGCGCAAGCGCATATCCGATAGTAATCAATGCAGCGCATCCGCGTCATTTAGTCTTTAGCGGAATTTGTTCACGCGAACATGCCAAGTGCAAAAGACGAACACGATTTCAGCTATCGACGAGACATTCGGAGTGTTTTCAAGTTAAACAATTGGATTTTAGGCTCGATCGGCATCTGGCCAGTCACAATTCGTGGTATCAGACGACACGTATATAAAATTGCAATCGCGGTTTGCAATCTCACATTTAGTTTTGCGTTAGTGCCGTGCGCTTTGCATATCATATATGATGAAAAAGACATCATCATAAGATTGAAGATAGGCGGTCTTCTGCTTTTCTGTCTCATCTCAATGATAAAGTATTGCATTCTCGCGATACGTCGTCCTAAAATACTTCGCTGCATCGAATACATGAAAAGCGATTGGTGGCAAGTTAGTATTGTCGTTAACATAAAATATGATACGCAGAATTTATATAATGTATTAGGAACAGGATTTGAATTCACGTGTAAATTCATAATTAGCCAGCATATAATTAAATAGTGACATTTTCCAAATCATGATGATTAATGATAATTAAAAAGTGCATTTTCACTTTATGCAATTATACTAATAATTATTAAATTAATATATTATTAAATTAATTAATAATATGAAATAATATGAAATAATAAATGCAAAATGTGTTTAATTAAATTCTTTCCATAAAGCTGGACACACATTTTACAAAGAGAGAAAGTTACTACATAACAAAATTCATAAATAATAATTTCTTATCTAATAATAAATAATTATTGGTAATATTGTGACAGGTGACGTTCAAATCTGATCGCGAAGTGATGCTGAAGTACGCTGCCATTAGTCGCAATCTAACGATTATCGGAGCATCATTTATGTATACCGCCGGTATCATTTATTATTTGATCGTGGTTCCATTCTTTTTCGAACACAAAGTCAACAATCAAACTATCAGACCGCTAGTGTTTCCGATTTATAGTAAATTTCATCAATTTCAAATTAGCCCAATATATGAAATTGTGTATGTAGCTCATTGCATGTGCGGATATATGATATATTCGGTGACAGCTGGTGCGTGCGGACTTGCCGCCTTATTTGCCACCCATGCATGTGGTCAGATTGAAATGATCGTATCGCGATTAGAAGATCTCGTAAATGGTGCAAGATGCAAGCAAAGTCCAAAAATCCACCAACGGATCGCTGCCATTGTTAAGGATCATGTTCGTATAGTAAAGTAAGAATTTGATATAAAAGCTTAATAACATTCGTAATAATTTAATAAAAATATTAATAAAAGAACTATAAAAATATAAAACATAAAAAAATTGATAATTTGTAGTTTAAATTATGAATCTCATGAAAAATAATATTTATGTTTGTGTATTTGAAAATATCTAAGAACAAACTAACAATTCTCATACAGCACTCTGTAATAAATTGTTATAAATATAGTCAATTTAGAGAAAGAAAATGGTTTTTTTAACAAAATAAGAAGGTTAACATTATTGCAAAATATTTGTTTATATAATTTGCTTAATTTTTATCACTTTATGATATAATAGATGTCAGAAAGTGATGAATGCGCAACAGGTGAGCTTAAAATTCCTCTAATATATTAAGCAATTCTGTTTCATGTCTGTTTCATTCTGTTTCTGTTTCAAACAATGCATAGATATGAGAGATATAAGAATATACGATATTATATATCGTACGTGAATGATTATATGTACTTATATGGAACAGAAAAAAAGAAAGAGAAAGAAAAAAAGAGAAAAAAGTAGATGAAGTTATGTTATAATAAGAATAATTAGCAAATAATGCATCTATTTTCTTCATATAAATTTGAATAACTTATTTCAGGTTTGCGATTGTTGTGGAAGAAGTTTTGCGAGAAGTATGCTTAGTAGAGTTCATTAGTTCGGTATGCACGATATGCTTGCTTGAATACTCCTGTATAGTGGTGTGTATATATAAAAAAATAACTAGTAATATATAAAAAAAAACCTACATAAAGCTATATTTCCTACTTAAATTTTAATAGGATTGGCAACAAGATAATAAACTTAGTTTAGCAAATTACTTTATGTTCTTTGTTTCCTTATGTTTCAATATATACATATTATGCTACATCGGGGAGCTTCTTATGGAAAAGGTACATTTTTATTCTTTGATTATGTAATTTAATTTTAACATATTTTGAAGAGATTTTTGCGTTTCATAGAGCAGTCAAATTGGATATACATGCTATATGATCAATTGGTATCAATTATCACCAAAATCATCTCGCAGTCTTATTCTGATAATTGCTATAGCGAGCCATCCCATAAAACTTAGTGCTGGTGGAATGGTAGATTTATCATTATTAACTTTTGGAAATGTACGCGTGAAGCATTATATTTTTTATCTTTACATAATAACAACAATTTTTTCATATTTAACAATTTTAATATTTAAATAAAATTGCAAAATAATTAAATTATGTTTAAAAAGAAAATCATATATTATCATATTATTTTATAAAAATATTATTGTTCTAGGTATTAAAAACTAGCGTAGCATATCTCAGCTTCCTGCGAACATTAGTGATGTAAATGTTATATAATCAAATTATATAATATATATAAAAATACATAGAAATTATATGATATACATATATTTATATAAAGCGATTATATTTTGAATTTCATAGCTTATCTATTTGAAGCATAGAATTTCTCAGTACACATAATGCTATTTTAATAGAAGATATCTATACATACTCACTTTCTTATATTTATTGACTTACTTTTTTTCTAATTAATCGTTAAAATACATTCTTCTAAAAACAAGATTTTGATTTTCCTTCTGTTTTTTACATAACTTATGTTGACAAGTAATTCAACTATGACATTTTATTAAACCAAAATTGTTATATTATAAATATTTTTTCAAATTTTATCAAAATATTTTTTACGTAAAAATTTAATGTTTTAAATATTTTAAGTTTAAATATTTTATTTCTTAAATAAACAATATATTATAGAATAAACTGAAACAGAACGATGAACGTCTATTTAAAAATATAACTTTCGTATTCAACATATAGCAAAAATATCTGAGTATATATAGAATAATATATTTTATATTTATATTTATTTATTCACCTTTTTCCCAATTATTCATTCTCATTAAACAATATTTGCATTAAATAAATAATTTTATTATCTTCTTATTATGTTTTATATAAAAAAATGCAAATAAGTAATTTAATCTTTATATTTCTATAAAACTAAATATTAATACAAACTATATAACTTTTCTAATTTTTTAATAAATTTATTTATTTTTCTTAAACAATTAAATCCATATAAATCTGTGCAAAACAGTGAAATTGTTTCGCTCATTTATACAATTGGTAAAGCAAAATACACTATGCACAATCACTTCTGATTAATAACAGACATAATCTGTCAAACTATCAACAGACTAAAGAACGTCTTTTACTATGTGAGCGCAAGCGCATATTCGATAGACTTGCAATCAATGCAGCGCATCCGCGTCGTTTAGTCTTTAGCGGAATTTGTTCACGCGAACATGCCAAGTGCAAAAGACGAACACGACTCCAGCTATCGGCGAAATATTTGGAATGTTTTCAAATTGAATAACTGGATATTAGGCTTGATCGGCATCTGGCCAGTCACAATTCGCGGTATCGGACGACACGCGTATAAGATTGCGATCGCAGTTTGCAATTTCACATTTAGCTTCGCGTTAGTGCCGTGCGCCTTGCATATCATCTATGATCAAAAAGACATCATCATAAGATTAAAGATAGGCGGTCTTTTGATTTTCGGTTTCGCCGCAATGATAAAATACTGTATTCTTGCGATACGTCGCCCTAAAATACATCGTTGCATCGAATACATGAAAAGCGATTGGTGGCAGGTTGGTGTTGTCATTAACATAAACAGTGATGTCAATGTGCAGAATTCATAACGATATATTGAGAAAAGCGTGTGAATTTATAATTAAGATGCGTATTAATTATAAATTCACAATTCATAAATACATGATGCTTATTGTTAATTAAAAAGTGCATTTATTTAATCATATTATATTAATTTGATAATTACAGCAGTAATTATCAAATTAAAATAATATGAAATAATAGAAACAGAATGTGGTTAATTAAATAATTCTTTTTTCTATATACAATAAAGTTGGACATACAATGTACAAATAAGAAAAATAGTTACTGCAGTTAAATTCGTAAATAATAATTTCTTATTTAATAATAAAAAACTTATTGATAATATTGTGACAGGTGACGTTCAAATCTGATCGCAAAGTGATGCTGAAGTTCGCTGCCATTAGTCGCAATCTAACAATGATCGGAGCATCATTTATGTACACCGCCGGTATCATTTATTACTTGATTCTGATTCCATTCTTTTTTGAGCACAAAGTTAACAATCAAACTGTCAGACCGCTAGTATTTCCGATTTATAGTAAATTTCACCAATTCCAAATTAGCCCAATATATGAAATTGTGTATGCAGCTCATTGCATGTGCGGATATATTATATATTCGGTGACATCTGGTACATACGGGCTTGCTGCTTTATTCGCCACTCATGCATGCGGCCAAATCGAAATCATCGTATCACGATTAGAAGATCTCCTAAGTGGTGAAAGTTGGAAGCAAAGTTCTAAAATTCATCAACGAATCGCTGCCATTGTAAAAGATCATGTTCGAGTAGTAAGGTAAAATGTTGAAATAAGAGCTTATTAATATTCATAATAATTCGCTAATACAAAAGAAAACCATAGGTAGAAAAATTTGATAATTTATGGCTTAAATTATAAAGCTTAAAAAACAATATTCATAAATATTTAAAAACAAATTAAACTAATAATTCTTATATATAACATTCCGTAACAAGTTGTCATAAATATAATCAATTTAATGAAAGATAATTTTTTTCTGCTAACGAAATAAAAATATTATTATTGAATTGATTGCTATTATTGAAAAACATTTTCTTTATATAATTTGCTTAATTTTTATCACTTTACAATAGATATTACAAAGTGATAAATGTGCAACAGGTGATCTCAAGAATCCTTTAATATTTTAAGCAGTTCTGTTCCATGTCAGATAATGGACTATAAGCATGCGACATTACATATATCGTATGTGAATGGTTATATATATACTACGTACTTATATGGAACGGTTGAAAGAAAAAGAAAAAATACATAGAATTATGTTATAATAAGAATAATTGACAAATAATGCATCTATTTTCTTCACATAAACTCTCTAAGTAAATTATTTCAGGTTTACAATTGTTGTAGAAGAAGTTTTACAAGAAGTATGCTTAGTAGAGTTCATTAGTTCGATATGCACGATATGCCTGCTCGAATATGCCTGTATAGTGGTGCGCTAATGTGTATATAGAAAAAAATAATAACTAGTAATATATAAGAAAATTCACATAAAGTTATATTTCATACTTTAATTTTAATAGGATTGGCAACAAGATAATAAATTTGGTTTAGCAACTTACTCTCTATTCCTTGTTTCTTTTTGTTTTAATCTCTACATATTATGCTACATCGGTGAGCTTCTTATGGAAAAGGTATATTTTTATTCTCTAATTATGAAATTTGACCGTATTTTGACCGTATTTTGAATAGATATTTGCGGTTAATATTACAGAGCAGTCATATTGGATATATATGCTATATGATTAATTGGTACCAATTATCGCCAAAATCAACTCGCAGTCTTATTCTGATAATCGCTATAGGAAGCCATCCCATAAAAATTAGTGCTGGTGGAATGGTAGATTTATCATTATTAACTTTTGGAAGTGTATGTGTGAGGCATTATGAGATATTATTTATACATTAATTTTAGTTTTAAATCTAAAACTATATACACTTTTTAAATTTGAAACTATATACACTTTTAAATTTGAAATAAAATAATTATATGAAAATAATTTAATATTCTAGACATTATTTTTTTATATCGCCTATGCACAATAATTTAACAAATGTTTTTTTTCATATTGACAATTTTGATATTTAAGTAAAAAATTAAATTATGGTTGAAAAGAGAATTATATTATTTTATAAAAATATTATTGTTCTAGGTATTAAAAACTAGCATGGCATATCTCAGCTTTCTGCGGACGTTAGTGATGTAAATATTATATAATCAAATTATGTGACATATATGAGAAATTATATGATATTTATATATATAAAGCTTATTAATATATAAAGCTTATTAATATATAAAATATTATATATATAAAGCTTATATAAAGCCATTATTTTGAATTTTATAGCTTACCTATTTGGAGTATAGAATCTCTTAGAACACATAATACTATTTTAATAGAAGATATTTATAAATTATATATATACTCGTTCTCTTATATTTATTAACTTTCTTTTCTAATTAATCGTTAAAATACATTTTTGTAAAAAATTTTGATTTTTTTTTTATTTTTCGCATAACTTACGTTGACAAGTAATTCAACTTTGACACTTTCATAAAACAAAAGACGTTAGACTACAAACATTTTTCTAAATTTTATCGAAATGTTTTTTACATTTACTTACGTTATTTCTTAAATAAACAATTAAGATCAAATAAAAGCTAAAACGACAAATGTCTATTTAAAACCGTGAGAATGAAATACATGTTACATGATCACTTCTCTGTTAAGAATATGCATGCGGTCTCTCAGACAATCAGCAAACGAAAGAACGCTTGCAACGCAAGCGCAAAACCTTGCAATCGATGCCGACGCGTCTCCCTTATCTAGTCTTAAACGGGACTTGTCATTGCGAACATGACAAGTGCATTTCGCAAAGAATCCGCTATATCGCAGAACTTTAACTATCGGGAAGATATTCAATACGTTTTTAAATTGAATAATTGGATCCTAGGTTCGCTCGGTATTTGGCCAATAGCGACTCGGGGAATCAGACAACATGCATCTAAGATCGCGATCACGCTCTGTAATCTTGCACTAGCTTTCGCGATAGTGCCCTGTGCCTTGCATATCATTTATGACGAAAAAGATATTATTATGAGGCTTAAACTATTTGGTTTACTGGCATTTTGTCTTACTGCTATGACAAAATATTGTATTCTCGCGATACGTCGGCCTAAAATACTGCGCTGCATCGAATACGTGAAAAGCGATTGGTGGAAAGTCAGTGTTACCTGTAATTAATATAATATATTGTATTAATGTGCAGAATTCATTATAAAATACTGAAAAATTTTGATTAATAACTAAAATACACAAATAAAATAATATTAATTTGAAGCTAGATCCTTTCGAGCTAATTATGTAATTCTTCCTATTGTTTAAAAGCGATATATTTATTTTAATTAATTATAATAAGAATAATTGCCATATTAAATTAAATAACAATAATGAATTGTAAAAACTAAATGTGTGTGATAAAAAAAAACAAGTTTTCTTTCTCTTTACATTGTAGCTAAAATTTTGATTAAAAAAAGAAAAAATAATCGCCAAAGAGTGCGAAATTAATTTTTCGTTTATCGATAAATAATGTAAATAATATTGTGACAGGTGACATTTAAAACAGATCATACAATAATGCTGAAATATGCTACCACTGGTCGCAATTTAACGATAATCGGCGCATCTTTCATGTATACTGCCGGCATCATATATCACATAATTCTGCCATTCTGTTCGGAGCATAAAGTTAACAATCAAACTGTCAGACCACTTGTGTATCCGACTTATAGTAAATTTCGCCAGTCTCAAATTAGCCCGATATATGAAATTGTGTATGTAGCTCATTGCATGTGCGGATACACGATATATTCGGTAACAGCTGGTGCATGCGGATTAGCTGCCCTATTTGCCACTCATGCATGTGGACAAATCCAAATAATCATATCGCGATTGGAAAATCTTTTAGAAGGTGAAAACTTCAAGCAAAGCCCGAATGTTCATCAACGAATTGCTGCCATCGTGAAGAATCATGTTCGAGTAGTAAGGTAACATTTTAAAATAATAGCTTATTAAAATCTAATATAATTCAAGTAGAAAGATAACTAAATATAAAAAATTAAAGATAAAAAATTTAATGAATTGTATTCTAAAATTATAAATAATAAAAAATATATTTTATCATATTTAATGATGAATTATAAATACTCTTTTATTTTCATATGATGCCCCTTAAATCTTTTTACAACTTAATATATTTAAATATAATTATAATTTAATAAAAAAATTATATCATTTCTAAATTTCACAATGAAAGAAATTGCTATGTACTAATAGCATCTCAATAGTACAGTCCTATTAATTCTTATCATTTTATTGTATGATAGTTATAATAGACAAATGCAACAGGTGGTTTCAACGAACAATACATTCTGTAGGCAGTTCAGTTTCATGTCAGATAATAAGCATATGCCATTACATATCCGTTTATTCTATATATATATAATGAATAATAGTTTCTTTTAAATAAAATATATATTTATATTAAAATAAAAAAATGTGTGGATGGAATAATGCATTCAAGTTTCTCCATGCAAAGCAGAATGACTAATTCATTTCAGGTTTGCGGCTGTTGTAGAAGAAGTTTTACAAGAAGTATGTTTGGTGGAATTCTCTAGTTCCGTATGCACGATATGTCTGCTCGAATATTATTGTATATTGGTATGACATTAAAAAAAATCTGTTAACAGATTTTGTAAAATTATGTTTGTTATCTCTCTCCAATTTGATAGGATTGGCAAGAAGATGATAGAATTGGTTTAGCAACTTATTCTTTGCTCCTTGTTTCATTCTGTTTCAATGTATATATATTATGCTATATCGGTGAGCTGCTTATGGAAAAGGTACATCTTTGGTTTTTTAATCATGCAATTTGCTTAATTTCAATTGCGCGCATATTGAATAATTATTAGCGACTAATTTATTTGCAGAGCAGTCAAATTGGATATATATGTTATATGATAAATTGGTATCAATTATCGCCAAAAACAGCTCGAAGCTTTATATTAATGATCGCCATGGCCAGTCATCCTATAAAAATTAGTGCCGGTAGAATGGCAGATCTATCATTATCAACTTTTGGAAATGTGAGACATTTTAAATATAACATTTATACGATATAATTATAATTTAAAATCTATATATATATATATATATATATATATATATATATACCTTCACATTTGAAATAACATAATAATTTCATAAAAAATAATATTTCAAAAATAATTTAGATAACAGAAATATGTAAAAAAAATTATTATATATAAAAAATACAAATAAAGCAATAAATTTTATTTTTTCATACTCTATAAACAATTTTACTATTTAAATAAAATTTTCAAAAATAAATTATAATCAGAGAAATATTGATATAATTAATATATAATTTGTTTAGGTATTAAAAACAAGTTTAGCATATCTGAGCTTCCTAAGAGCATTAATAATATAAGATGTGATAAGATTGAAGTTACACATGAAACAAATATACAAAGAAATTATTTTAAATTTAATGTGACTTACTATTCAAAATATGAAATATATGATAATATATAGAAATAATATATAAAAAAACATATACTATATTATTTGATATTTATATTCATTTTCTTTTCTCAATTAATTGTTCTCACTGAATGATACATTCACCAAACGAACAATTTTACTCTTTTTATTATTTTTTATATAAACAATACAACTAGTACTTTAATTTTAACATTTAAATAAAACTACAAAATGTTAAACTATATATGTTTTCCTTTAGAGAAATTATTTTAGAGATTTATATATTTCATATCTTAAATAATTAAATTCAGATAAATTTGCGAGACAACAAAAGCGTTTGTTCCATTTATAAAATGTCTAAAGTAAAATATACCATGCACGATCACTTCTCGATTAATAGACACATCTGTCAAACTATCAACAGACTATCAAAAGACGTCTCTTACTACGTAAGCGCAAGCGCATATTCGGTGGACTTGCAATCAATGTCGCGTATCCGCCTCGTTTAGTCTATAGCGGAATTTATCATCGCGAACATGTCAAGTGCACGCAAACCTGCAATGCCACAAAACTTGAGCTATCACCGTGATATTCAATATGTTCTCAAGTTAAATAATTGGATTTTATGCACGATCGGTATTTTACCATTCACAACCCGCCGCATCGGACGACATGTATTTAAAATTTTGATCGCGTTCTGTAATTTCATAATAAGCTTCGCGATGGTGCCTTGCGCTCTGCATATTATCTACGATCAAAAAGACATCACTATAAGACTTAAACTATTCGGTTTGTTAGCATATTGCATTACCGCGATGACAAAGTATTGTATTCTCACAATACGTCGACCTAAGATATTGTACTGCATCGAATTTGTGAAGAAGGATTGGTGGCAGGTCGGTGTTATCATTAATTAACATAATGTATCGCGTTAATTTACAGTGATTATAATGATGTATTGACAAATAATTTGAGTGAAAGAAGCGTGATTATGTTATGTTTGTTTAAAAATGATTATATTGAACCTAAATTTAGAACGATATGATTCTTATAGTTGTTTAGAAAGCATTCCTATTTTGTGCAATATTAGTATAATAATTATATTTAATAGAATATAAAATAGAAATCAAATACGCTTAAAAAAAAAGCATATATTATATAATTTCTTTTCTTTTTGCATTGTAAACTAAAATTTTAAAAAAGGAAAGACAATCTAAAGATTAGTAAGTTGCGATTTTTTATTTGTCTAGATTAATAAAAATGAGCGATATTGTGATAGGTGACGTTCAGATCTGATCGCGAACAGATGCTGAAGTATGCTGCCGCCGGTCGCAAGCTAACGATAATCCTCACATCGTTTATGTACTCTTCTTCTGTCATTTATTACCTAATTTTACCGTTTTTTTCCGAGCACATAATCAACAATGAAACTGTCAGACCGCTCGTGTTTCCGATTTATAGTAAATTTCGCCAATTCCAAATTAGTCCGGTGTACGAAATTGTGTATGTAGCTCATTGTATGTGCGAATACACTCTATGCTCAGTGACAGTTGGTACGTGCGGGTTGGCTGCTTTATTCGTCACTCATGCATGCGGCCAAATTGAAGTAATTCTATCGCGATTGGAAGATCTTGTAAATGGAAAAAATTTCATGCAAAATCCAAATATTCATCGACGAATTGCTGCCATTGTGAAAAGCCATGTTCGAGTAGTAAGGTAACATTTTAAAATGATAATTTATCTCTGTATACAATAACTTATTGATTTGAAAAAACTTATATATTGCAATTGAAAATTTTGAATTAATAATTATTAATTAATAATTTTAAATTTTAAACAATAAAAATTTTTTTAATTATTTAATTTAAATAAAACAATTTCTTTTACACATGATACTGTTCACGGCTATATAAACATGATTAATTTAAAATTACTAATTATTAATTAAGAGAAATAACTTTATTATTTTTAAATTTTTAAATTTTTCTAACATCATGTACCTATACAGAATTATGCAAAACGTTGAAATACAAACTAAAATTTATTCTAGATTTGCTGCTGTAGTGGAAGAAGTTTTAAAAGAAGTATGTTTAGTAGAACTTTCTAGTTCTCTATGCACAATATGTTTGCTCGAATACTATTGTATAGTGGTGCGCTAACAAGTATACTACAAAAAATAAAGAATTCTTAATGAAAAATCTTATAAAATTATATTTGCTGCTTACAATTTAACAGGATTGGCAAGATGACGATAGGATTAGTTTAGCGACCTATTTTATACTCTTTGTTTCGTTCTGCTTCAACGTATACATGTTATGTTATATCGGCGAGCTTCTCATGGAAAAAGTATTCTATTGTTTTTTTAATCACACAATGCTTAACTAAAACTGTGTTTAATTGTTGGCTTAATATTATAGAGCAGTCAAATTGGACATATATGCTACATGATTAATTGGTATCAAATATCGCCAAAATTCGCTCGTAGCCTTATATTGATAATCGCTATGGCCAGCCATCCTATTAAAATCAGTGCTGGTAGAATAGTAGATCTGTCATTATTGACTTTTGTAAATGTAAGACATTAATAACATTTATACATTATTATTTTATTGTTACCTACTTTAAATTTAAAATAAATTACAATACTAAGAAAAATTCATTTCCAAAATTATTTAACAATAATATTTTACATAATAATTTAATAGCAAATTGGAAAATTCACAAACAAACTCTTCAATATATAACTATAAAATACAATATAATATATAACTAAAAAAAATCATTATTTAAATTTGTTTTTAGATATTGAAAACTACACTGGCATATCTCAGTTTCCTACGAACGTTAGTAATGTAGACATAATTAAAATTATGAAATATGTGAGTAAAAGAATTTCTCTCTTTTGATTTGATATTTAAATAATCTATTTAAAAAAATATAGAAAATCTTATATATTAAATATAATATTATATTAAAATTATTGATGTTTAAATTATTGATATTTATTTTTTCTTCTTCTAATAATTACATTATATCCATTATATAACATATTTGATATTTTTCTTTATATAATTCAAATGTGTATATAGAAAAATGCAAAGAAAAAAATACTTATTTTTTTTTATAAGGAATACACAGCGATCTAATGCAGTGATATACTATGATTAGCAGGGCGGTCCATCTCATACAATATTCAAAGCAACTTGTCATCATGAACATATCAAATATGCAAATATGATTATTATTCGAAATTTTACTTATCATTGAGATAATCAACATGTTTTCAGACTAAATAATTGGATTCTATGCACAATAAGCTAGTCGTGACATCAGATATATGTAAGTTAGTCGTCGCATCAGATGATATACGTAAAATCACAATTGCGTTTTGTGTTTAATTTTGCACGACGTACTTCAACAATAAAATGTTACATTGTATCAAATATATGAAAAACGATTAATAATATATGAATTATTAATTTATTATTAATTAATCTTATCATTAATTAATATAACATTTTTTGGTATATGTATTCATAATGACGTATTAAGAAATAGTTTTAAAAAAAGATTCTGATTTTGATTTGAATTGTGTTTAAAAAAAATAAAATTTTGTTTCTATTCTCATCGTAATTTAATTTTCTATTTTTAAAAAGGTTATTGGCAAATTGCTAAGATAAATTATAATTAAATTTACAGTTAAATTTACAATTGTCTTTATATAGCGCTAAACATAATCAATAAATAATCAATAAAAATTGATTATTTATTGATTATGTTTAGCGATTGATTATGTTTAGCATTATGTTGGCAAATTATGGATATATATGGAATATAATATGGAATATATTTAGGATTATGTTAGCAAAAATAAAATAAAATTATTCCTAACTTAATGTGATATTGATATTGAAAAAATTAACTGCTGCATATATATAATTTTATTTATATAAGTTATTTAAATATCATCTTTTCCATATATACTTAAGGAATGTGATAGAACGTGTAACAGGTGGTTCTATGCAAATCAGTAGGCGGTACCATGTGCATCAAGTGATGCGCGGACTACAAGCATGCGCTGTTGTATTTTAACTTACAATTAAATATGTTATATATTTATATTATATAGCAACCTCTAAATTCTGTTTTTTCAAGGAGTGCAACTACTTTTTTCGGCACATATGAATCAGTTTTTGAAAAAAATAATATAACATAAAAAGGAAGACTGTCTGTCCATCTCTTTCTAATATATTATACATTTATGTTTATTTTTATGCTAATTATTAAAAAGATATTGAAGTATTAACAAATCAAGAATATCAAATATAAGAATTTCATCGCAAGGAAGTACAAGAGAACAAGAAGAACATTATTGTGCTTTGTGCAATCTTTGGTATTATTGTCTTGTTTATCTTTGTTATTATTGTCTATGTTCATTAAGATAATCTTTGTTAATCTTTATTATTATTGTCTATGTTCATTAAGATTAAAAAAAAACTTTAGTTGAATATGTAGTCATATATTCTTATATTCTTTTCATTGCTCTTCGCCATAATAATTAAATCATAGAAAAATGGCGCTCAAAGTTCATAATTAAACATAAATTTTGGGCTTCACATTTTGCTTCAATAAATAAATAAATATATGTATATATATGTATGTATATGTATATACAGGGTATATCTGAAATAATGCACTAAACTTTAGAAGCGTATTCTAGAGATCAAAATAAGACTTTTTTTCTTATAAACATGGGTCCGCAAATGAACCCCACTCCGAGCTAAAATTCGAAAATGTGTGAAATTGACCAAATATTCGCAACGCAAATTTATTTATTTCTCAAGAGAGGGTGATAGGTAACGTCAAAACTGTTTTTTTCTTTAAATACAGCCAATTTTTAATTTTTTCCCCAAACTTTAAGGGCCTCTAGCGTGAACATTCTCACACACACACACCCACACATACACACACTGATTGCTACACTCATCGCGTATAGCAATTAGCTAATTCCGGCCAGCGCCCCACGTAATCGCTTATATCGCGTTGTCCCTGCGTACGTCTCGTATTCATTCCGTAATTAGTTAACTATTTAATTAGTTAACTATTTTCCTTTATAGTTTAAAGACTAAACACCGGGCAAAATTTGGAAAGAGGAAAAATCGTCTTAGAAAAAATTCAAGAATTTGATATTTTAAAGATAAACGTTTATTCAGCATCACCCTGATATTTTAAAGATAAACGTTTGTTCAGAATCACCCTGTGTATATATACCTTCACATTTGAAATAAAATAATAATTTCATAAAAAATAATATTTCAAAAATAATTTAAGATAACAGAAATATGTAAAAAAAATATTATATATAAAAAATACAAATAAAGCAATAAATTTTATTTTTTCATACTCTATAAACAATTTTACTGTTTAAATAAAATTTCCAAAAATAAATTATAATCAGAGAAATATTGATGTAATATAATTTGTTTAGGTATTAAAAACAAGTTTAGCGTATCTGAGCTTCCTAACAGCATTAATAATATAAGATGTGATAAGATTAAAATTACACATGAAACAGATATACAAAGAAATTATTTTGAATTTAATGTGACTTACTATTCAATATATGAAATATATCTTGATAGATAATATATAAAAAAACATATGCTACATTATTTAATATTTATATTCATTTTCTTTTCTCAATTAATTGTTCTCATTAAATGATACATTCATCAAAGAAACAATTTCACTCTTTTTATTAGTTTTTATATAAACAATACAACTAGTAATTTAATTTTGACATTTAAATAAAATTACAAAATGTTAAACTATATATGTTTTTCCACTTTAGAGAAATTATTTTAGAGATTTATATATTTCATATCTTAAACAATTAAATTTATATATTTCATATCTTAAACAATTAAATTCAGATAAATTTGCGAGACAACAAAAGCGTTTGTTCCATTTATAAAATGTCTAAAGTAAAATACACCATGCGCGATTCTTCTCGATTAATAGACACATCTGTCAAGCTATCAACAGACTATCAAAAGATGTCTCTTACTACGTAAGCGCAAGCGCATATCCGGTGCACTTGCAATCAATGTCGCGTATCCGCCTCGTTTAGTCTTTAGCGGAATTTATTATCGCGAGCATGTCAAGTACACGCGAACCTGTAATGCCACAAAACTTGAGCTATCACCGTGATATTAAATATGTTCTCAAGTTAAATAATTGGATTTTATGCACGATCGGTATTTTACCATTCACAACCCGCCGCATCGGACGACATGTATTTAAGATCTTGATCGCGTTTTATAATTTCATAATAAGCTTCACGATAGTGCCTTGCGCTCTGCATATTATCTACGATCAAAAAGACATCATTATAAGACTTAAACTGTTCGGTTTGTTAGCATTTTGCCTTACTGCGATGACGAAGTATTGTATTCTCACAATACGTCTACCTAAAATATTGTACTGCATCGAATTTGTGAAGAGTGATTGGTGGCAGGTCGGTGTTGTCATTAATTAGCATAATGTATCGCGTTAATTTGCAGTGATTATAATGATGTATTGACAAACAATTTGAGTGAAAGAAGCGTGATTATGTTATGTTTGTTTAAAAATGATTCATTCTATTGAATCTAAATTTAAAACAATATGATTCTTATAGTTGTTTAGAAAGCATTCCTATTTTGTGCAATATTAATATAATAATTATATTTAATAAAACATAAAATAGAAATCAAATACGCTTAAAAAAGAGCATATATATAATTTCTCTTCTTTTCACATTTTAAACTAAAATTTAAAAAAAAGAAAGACAATCGAAAGATTAGTAAATTGGTAAATTGCGATTTCTTATTTGTCAAGATTAATAAAAATGAGCGATATTGTGATAGGTGACGTTCAGATCTGATCGCGAACAGATGCTGAAGTATGCTGCCGCCGGTCGCAAGCTAACGATAATCGTCACATCGTTTATGTACACTTCTTCTGTTCTTTATTACCAAATTTTGCCATTTTTTGTCGAGCACATAATCAACAATGAAACTGTCAGACCGCTCGTGTTTCCGATTTATAGTAAATTTCGCCAATTCCAAATTAGTCCAGTGTACGAAATTGTGTATGTAGCTCATTGTATGTGCGAATACACTTTATGCTCAGTGACAGTTGGTACGTGCGGGTTGGCTGCTTTATTCGTCACTCATGCATGCGGCCAAATTGAAGTAATTCTATCGCGATTGGAAGATCTTGTAAATGGAAAAAATTTCATGCAAAATCCAAATATTCATCGACGAATTGCTGCCATTGTGAAAAGTCATGTTCGAGTAGTAAAGTAACATTTTAAAATGATAATTTATCTCTGTATACAATAACTTATTGATTTGAAAAAACTTATATATTGCAATTGAAAATTTTGAATTAATAATTAATTATTAATAATTTTAAATTTTAAACAATAAAAATTTTTTTAATTATTTAATTTAAATAAAACAATTTCTTTTACACATGATACTGTTCACGGCTATATAAACATGTTTAATTTAAAATTATTAATTATTAATTAAGTGAAATAACTTTATTATTTTTAAATATAAAATTTTTCTAACATCATGTACCTATGCAGAATTATGCAAAACGTTGAAATACAAACTAAAATTTATTCTAGATTTGCTGCTGTAGTGGAAGAAGTTTTACAAGAAGTATGTTTAGTGGAACTTTCTAGTTCTCTATGCACGATATGTTTGCTCGAATACTATTGTATAGTGGTGCGCTAACAAGTATACTACAAAAAATAAAGGATTCTTAATGAAAAATCTTATAAAATTATATTTGCTGCTTACAATTTAACAGGATTGGCAAGATGACGATAGGATTAGTTTAGCGACTTATTTTCTACTCTTTCTTTCGTTCTGCTTCAACGTATACATGTTATGCTATATCGGCGAGCTTCTCATGGAAAAAGTACTCTATTGTTTTTTTAATCATACAATGCCTAAAACTATATTTAATTGTTTGGCTTAATATTATAGAGCAGTCAAATTGGACATATATGCTACATGATTAATTGGTATCAAATATCGCCAAAATTTGCTCGTAGCCTTATATTGATAATCGCTATGGCCAGCCATCCTATTAAAATCAGTGCTGGTAGAATAGCAGATCTGTCATTATTGACTTTTGTAAATGTAAGACATTAATAACATTTATACATTATTTTATTATTACCTACTTTAAATTTAAAATAAATTACAATACTAAGAAAAATTCATTCCCAAAATTATTCAACAATAATATTTTACATAATAATTTAATAGCAAATTGGAAAATTCACAAAGAAACTCTGCAATATATAACTATAAAATACAATACAATATATAACTAAAAAAAATCATTATTTAAATATGTTTTTAGATATTGAAAACTACACTGGCATATCTCAGTTTCCTACGAACGTTAGTAATGTAAACATAATTAAAATTATGAAATATGTGAGTAAAAGAATTTCTCTCTTTGATTTGATATTTGATAAATCTATTTAAAAAGATATAGAAAATCTTATATATTAAATATAATATTACGTTAAAGTTATCGATGTTCATATATTCATTTTTCTTCTTCTAATAATTACATTATATCCATCATAAAACATATGATATAAAACATTTGATATTTTTCTTTATATAATACATGATAATTCAAATGTGTATATAAAAATACATATAATATAATATATATAATATAATATATATAAATATATATAAAATATATATAATATATAATATAATATATATAAATATATATAAAAATGCAAAGAAAAAAAATATTTATTTTTTTTATAAGGAATACGCAGCAGTATAATACAGTGGTATACTATGCATAGCCGGGCGTCCATCTCAAGCAATTTTCAAAGCAATTTGTCATCATAAACATATAAAGTCAGCAAATATGATTATTATTCGAAATTTTAATTATCATTGAGATAGTTGTTTTCAGGCTGAATAATTGGATTCTATTCATAATCAGCTAGTTACAGTTCGTGGCATCAGATGATATACGTAAAATCACAATTGCGTTTTATAATTTCATGTTTAATTTTGCATACTTCAAAAATAAAATGTTACACTGTATCAAATATATGAAGAACGTTTAATAATATATGAATAATTAATTTATTATTAATTAATCTTATCATTAATTAATATAATATTTTTTAGTGTATGGTATTGATAATGACATATTAAGAAATAGTTTTTAAAAATGATTCTGATTTTTATTTGAATTGTGTTTAAAAAAATAAAATTTGTTTTTATTCACATCGTGATTTAATTTTCGATTTTTGAAAAGGTTATTAGCAAATTGTTAAATTGAATTATCATTAAATTTACAATTATCATTAAATTTATAATTGTTTTCATATAGCGCTAAACACATAATCAATAAATAATCAATAAAAATTGATTTAACACAAAAATAATTAAAAATTATTTCTAATTTAATATTGTATTTAAAAAATTAACTGCTGCATATATATATAATTTTATTTAAATAAGTTATTTAAATATTATCTTTTCAATATATACTTAAGGAATGTGATAGAACGTGTAACAGGTGGTTCTATGCAAATCAGTAGGCGGTGCATCACCATGTGCATCAAGTGATGCGCGAGACTACAAGCACTGTTGTATTTTAACTTACAATTAAATGTGTTATATATTTATATTATATATTATAACACACTTATATTATATTTATATTATATAACAGTCCATTTATATTATATAGCAAACTCTAAATTCTGTTTTCTCGGAGCGCAAATATTTTTTTCGGGTCACATATGAGTCAATTTTTGAAAAAAATAATATAATATAAAAAGGAAGACTCTCTGTCTATCTCTTTTTAATATATTATACATTTATGTTTATTTTTATATTAATTATATTGGAAAATTAAATTTAAAAATTAAAAAATATTGGAGCATTAACAAATCATATAATAATTTTATTGCATGAAAGTACAAGAGAAGAATATTATTGTGCTTTGTGCAATCTTTGTCATTATTGTCTTATGTTCGTTAAGCTTAAAAAAGAATTTAGTTGAATATATAGTCATAGATTCTTATATTCTTTTCATTGCTCTTCGCCACGATAATTAAATTATAGAAAAATGGCGCTCAAGGTTCATAATTAAACATTAATTTTGGTTTTCACATTTTGCTTCAATAAATAAATAAAAAAATTTATATATGTATATATGTATACATTGAGTTCATGAAAAAAGTAGTTTAACTTTTTTGATCGTGCAACATTTAGCATTAACTACGTTGAATAATCATTTGTGATTAATATATTACAGAACAATCAAATTGAATCAAACTAAAATTACAGACATATAGAGAAATTTTTTTAAAATTTAATTTGTATATCTATATATTGTTTACTACAATAATATATTACATAGAATAATATTACGCCAATGCCGTATACTCACACACACATACACACACACACACACAAATGTTCATTTATTCACTTTATTCTATCGTTATTAATCATTATCGTTAAACTACAAAACTATTTATCACAAAAATTTATATTCTTGTTATATTCTTATTATTTTACAACACGCATATTGAAAAGTATAATTAAATTTTCTTGTTTACATAGAAAATAATTTAATTTATAATTTTTATAATTTTATCAAAACTATGGTCAAATTATTTGATTTGTCGAAAAATATAGATAGAGAAAAAATAGAACGAACAATACAGAAGTGAATTTAAACAAAAAGATGAAAATGGTTGCTCCACTTGAAATCAGATATAAGATATACCTGTACGACCACTTCGTGATTAATCGCATGCACATGATTTGTCTGACTGACAGTAGATGAAAGAATATCTGCCAGCGCAAGCGCATGTCCAGCGACCTTGCAATCAATGTTACGCGCTAGCCTCGTGCAGTCTTAAACGGAACCTAGCAATGTGAACATGAGAAATTCACAAGACAATCAGAAGATGTCGTCGAACATTAATTATCAGCGGGATATGAGATATATTTTCAAACCATGTAGCTGGATCCTTGGTTCGATCGGCATCTGGCCAATTACATTCCGCGGAATCGGACAACACGTGTCCAAAATCGCGCTCGTGCTGTGTAATTTTGCGTTAGGATTTGCGATAGTGCCGTGTATTTTGCATATCATTTATGACGAGAAGGATCTTAACATAAGATTAAAGCTCTCTGGATTATTGGGCTTCTGTCTCACAGCAATGATGAAATATTGCGTTCTCGCGATACGTCGGCCTAAAATATTACGCTGCATCGAACATGTGAAGAATGACTGGTGGCAGGTTGTCGATATTATAAAATACAGCAAGGAGTTAACCAATAGAATTTATCACAAATTAAATGCTTGAAAAGTGAAGGCTGATTTCTTTCTCTTGAGATTGGAAAAAAAACGAGTTTCATCAAAAATTGCTTGAGATATAATTTTGATTTTAAAATAATGCTATTTCTCGAATAATTCGTTTTTCAATCTTTACATAAAAATCACTCTATTTATATATTTTATATCCTGCCGTTTTTTCTACATTTAATTTGGCTAATGTGTTAATTATTGTAATTTTCTCTTCTGTATTGTCAAAAATTCAATAATTAATACGAGGCTGCACGCTATAATAACTAGATATATAAATTCATATTTTATGCAAGATTTAAATTTAAGGAGTTATATATTTTCTTATATTCATCAATTTGACAATGATACACTAAAGCGAATTTCGTAATTTTGCTTTCGAATGTTCTCATAATTTGCAATAAATAGTGATTGCTGTCATTAATTCTCTCGGCAAATAGGATTACTGGCAATACTGTGACAGGTCAAGTTCAACTCCGATCGCGAATTGATGATGAAGTACGCTGCCACTGGTCGTAGGCTCTCTATAATCAGCACGACTTCCATGTACATCGCCGGCTTCATTTATCACACAATTCTGCCATTTTGCACTGTGCATAAAGCCGGTAACGAAACTATCAGACCGCTCGTGTATCCAACTTACAGTGAATTTTATCAGACTCAGATTAGCCCGATATACGAAATAGTATATCTAGCTCATTGCATTTGTGGATACACCATGTATTCGGTCACGGCCGGATCGTGTGGATTAGCTGCGATATTCGTTACTCATGCGTGTGGCCAAATTGATGTAATCACGTCTCGACTTGAGGATCTTTCGCGTGGCAAAAACTTTCAACAATCATCAGACGTTAACCAACGAATCGCTGCCATCGTGAGTGGTCATGTTCGAATATTAAGGTAACACATTCTGCTCTATCAAATTTAGTTTAAATTAATTTGAGATTCTTTCATATTTAAAAAAATCTTGGTAATTATGATTACATTCAAAATAATAAAATAAATAAAAAAGGCAGTTTTATGCAGAAAAAAGTTTTCCATATTTTATATACGTATACATATATAATTTTGTTTTATTATTTGTTGCAAAAATGCAAAAGACGAAGAAATACAACATGTGTATCTAACGAACCTTCAATGTGTATGTGTGTGTATTTTAGAGGACGGTACAATTGTATGTTTCACGGATTATGCGCAGATTTTGAACATGCGAGACATTACATTCTTATTTAAATGTATAACTTTCATTAAATAATATCATACTCATTACGTATTCATTAAATAATATCATACTCATTACGTATTCAACTGATTGCAAAAAAGTGCGCAAAATTTATTTCTTTAATTTTTTATTAAATATTAATTGTACATATTTACTGTAGGTCTGTATTGAAACTGATAATGATATATAAAATTTTTTAAATTAATAGTTAGGAATTTAGGCTCAAATAAATAAATAAAAATTAAATTAAAATTGGCACATAAGAGCCACAGCGCGATAATTGGAGCGCAGGAAAGAAACAATACTTCCTTCTTATGAATTATTGGTTTATTTCAAACTTAACTACTACAGTATTACTATACTATCACACTGTGGCTCTTATGTGCCAATTTTGATTTAATTTTTATAAAATTTTTAATATGCAAGCAATAATGATCTGTTTTAGATTCTGCGCTGCCGTGGATGAAATTCTACAAGAAGTATGTTTATTGGAATTCGCCAGTTCTATATTCACAATGTGCTTGCCTGAATATTATTGCATAGTGGTGCGCTAAAATATATATATTTAAAAAAAATAATCTTCTTTTATTACACGGAAAATCTTAAAGAATTATGTTTGTTACTTATAATTTCATAGGATTGGCAAGATAGTGATACAGTTGGACTGACAACTTACTTTCTGCTTTTCGTTTCATTCTGTTTTAATATGTTTATATTATGTTATATTGGCGAACTACTCATGACGAAGGTATATTTTTTCGATTTTAATTTCGATTGTAATTTAATTTCAATTTTCGTGAGCATAAAACTATAGCAAAAAATGGACGAAAAAGAATATATTAAATATTTTTCCGCGGATGACATTTTTTTCCAGAGTAGTCAGATTGGTTCGGTATGTTTCATGATCGATTGGTATCAACTACCGACAAAAGCAGTTCGTAGTTTAGTATTGGTGATTGCTATATCAAACCATCCTATAAAGATCAGCGTTGGCAGAATGATAGATTTATCGTTGGCGACTTTTGGAAACGTAAGAAATTGTGTATATGATATTCATATATGCAAAATTAATCCCTAATCTTGATATAATTGTAAACAAAATAAATCAATAAAAAAATCCTAAAACTATTCGAAGTATTTTTGCTTTCTTTATATACATTTTTTAATCGTATACATATATTCTTTTAATAAGATATTTAATTATTAAATTTAATTATTTATTAAACTAAATTAAAATAAAAAGTATGTTTATTAATGTAATTTTTTATTAGGTACTCAAAACAAGTCTGGCATATCTAAGTTTCCTTCGAACATTAGTAGTAATGTGAATGTTATTGAAATACCGTAATTAATATACAAAATATATAATATATCATCTCTTTTATAATATAGAATCTCCATAAATCAAATGTAAGCATTTTAATAAGATAACAATCAATTTTTAATGAAATACATTTTTCGTTATTTTTGAAAAATAATTTTTTTTATTTCTTATTTTAAAATTATAAATAATTACGTATTGTACAATTTTTGATATATATAAATGTGTTGTACAATTTTATTTGGTATATATAATATATAATATTATTTTAAACAAAAAGGAAAAATATTTTTAAAGGAGAATTTTCGATTAAAAAAGGGTACAATATTTATAATAATTTAACAATATCCTACTGCTGCTATGATTCCACTGTTGTTAATGTCTTACATTTGTCCAATAGGAATTACGTAGTAAAATAGCTGTATCAGCTGATTGCTGTGTTGATATCGTTGATATTTATCAGCTGTTGGTTAAGTTGGTCGGAAAGACAGAATAACACTAGTGCTTTCCATAAACATAAAATGTAATTAAAATGTGAATAGTGTCCCATATAAAAACATATAATTCACATAGATAAATAATTATTGTCTGTGAGAGCTTGTATAAAAATGTGAATGCAATGTATCGAAAATTATATTCCAGTTTGTCTTGTTTTTATTTACCTAACCTAGTTTTCATTTAATATTTATTTTATACTTATTTTGTGTATAATAAAAATTCATTAATCTCTCTAACAAAAAAATTTTATATAGAAAAATTATAAAACTAAAAGTATTGTAAAAGTGGAATAAATTATAAATATATATATTATAATAATATAACAAGAAATCATTAAATATGATTTGATTCTATTTATTCTATTTATAATCTTATAATATAAACAAAGTATTTTTTTTAATAGTTATATCTTTTTTAAAATTGTATATATAAAAATTTATAAAAGTGTATAATTATTTTATTCTCTTTTCACATCCATAAAATAGGTGTTTCTAGTGCGTCAAGATTGGTGTATTCATATAAAAATACATGATATAAAATGTCTGAGAAAAAGATCATTGGGGGTATTCCTGTGGAGTGTCTAACTGGAGAACCAGCTGCTATATGGTCTGGCTGGCGTACATTGGGAGACAGAGAACTTGTAAGAGAAGCTTCTGCTAAGGGAACCCATATAAAACTAGCATATAAATGCCTTGCATATAGAAGACACTGTTCCGTAGAACAAGCATGTATATATTTCAATGAAGAAGTAGAAAATTGGGTCAGTGAGTTGTTAAACAAAAAACAAGTTTATAGAGCGTCACATATTTTAAGGAATATGGTATGTGTCACATATATTATATTAGTCTATCATATCTTTTTCTTTTGAACATGAATGATATAATGAATAATATTTCCAAATAATAAAATACAAAATCTATAATATGAAATATTTATAATAATCATTCTTTTATAGGGAAAGGACTCAGTGGAATATATTTTTACTGTTTCCACAAAGAGCAAAGATGCAGCCTTAAGAAACTATTTATGTGAATATATGATAAATGTTAGTGGATTTAAAAATGAACATGTCGCAGCGTGGAACATAATTAAGTCTATTATAGAGCATGAAGAAAAATACAAGTAAGTTTATAAAATTTATAAGAAAACAATATTCCTAGATATAATAAGATAGAAAAGAATTAATCGTTATTTTATTGTTCCAGAATTCAAAATGGATTAAGTTCTCGTATATGTATAAATGATATAATGAAACTACCAGAGAATATTAAAGAAGTCTTATGTACTGAATTATTTTTCTCTTTGAATGACCCACAGATTTTGGGAAGTGTATCAAACACTATTTTGTGGGATTACTTGTTATCTAACAATAAAATTAATGAAATAAGATTATGGATTGATGCGTATTGCAATCCAGATATCTTACAAAATTCAAATGAAATTAATCACCATTTAAAATCATTATTTTTAACTTTAAATATTACATCAGATATGATTGAATATATAGATTCTTCCAATGCTAGTAGCCTTATAAAAGATTTAACTACAGATTATTTATCCAGGTATGTATTTTATCTTTTTAATGTATACTTACTGATAATTAATATATTTACTAGACTAATAAAAAAGAATATATAAATTTATTATTTTAGATATGGCATATATATAAAAAAAGAAACGTATGATATAAAATTACTATTAAATCGTTCCTTTGGCTGTGGTATTACATTGGAAGAACTTGATGCAACATTATCTCTACCTTCTTGCAATATTGATAAAACAGAATTTTTGCGAAATGTTGATCAAAAATTGTGTCTTGCACATTGCACACAAGAATGTCACACTGAAGAAGACAATTTAAAGCTAACACAATTATTTAATGTATTAACTGATATGTGTAATGCTAAAGATCATTACGAAGATGCATTAATTCGTGGAATAGTTGAATCAATTAATTATATTTCTGACGACTTTAATGCCTATCTAAAAACGAATTATTTAGCAAGCTTGACATTAATATTTTTACAATTATCTCAAATGAAAGGTGCCTTAAGTAATGAGGCAAATACTTCCGAAAAGAATAAACTAATGAGAGACATATTTACAAACAAAGTTGCTTTAAAAATTGGTGAACATATTATTTCCCAAGAAGTTCTTCAGTTTGCGCTCACACACATACCAAATATGCAATATATCATTGAAGATCAAATTAAAAAGGATGATATTACAGTATACGAATTATTAGATGGATATAAAAATTTGAATGCAAAACAACTTTTCAAATGGCGCTTAAAAAATGAGTCCATGCCTACTTTCACAAACGAAAATCTCATTAAAAAATATGGACATAAAGAAATATTAACATATCGTTATTATCTGAAAGAAGGCAGACCAAATATGGCTGCATATACCTTAGAATACACTCAAGCTAAGTTACTCGGAAATGTATCTTCTCAAAGGTTTGTATTTTCAATGAGAATATTTATTTTTGTCAATGTGCTTGTATGAACAATTAAAATCATTTTAGAAAATTCAAAGCGGCCTTATACGCGCACATTCTCGCTTTGAGAAATCTAGATAAGTCTGATATTGTATGCAGTTGTATTGTTTTTATTGAATTGTTGAAGATTGACTCGAGCAATTTACGACTGCACGTTACTGTGGCAAACTATGTGCAGGAGCAGTTAAATATCTCTATAGGTATAACATTTTATAATTTTAACTAAACAATTACAATACATATATGATATTTGTAAATAAAATTTTGAATATTCTTTATTCTACAGGGAATTTATTAGAAAATGTAGTGTATAAGAATCAAACTGATCTAATGTCTGTGATATCTTACTTAGAACAAAGCTTCCAAAAACATTTATTAGATAAAATCTTGACACGCAATAGTGAACAGTTTATTGAAGCACTAAAAATATGGAACATTATCGTGCGCTTTGCACAAGTTCACAACTGTGTATTACCCGATACATTGCTGAAATATTTGGCAGATCATGATTTATGGTTCGAATTCATTGCAGTTAGCCATATATTCGCTTATCCCATAAATCAGGTACATTGAAAGAATAATAATAATAATAATAATACTAATTAAAGTCTATATCTCTCAATCTAATCGCGTTTGCTAGGTACTGAAAAACGCCCAATTATTTAATAATGCGAGCATACGGGAACATTTATTAATGTGTTTCACCAATAGTAAACTTAACAAATTTGAATCATGTAATGAACAAAAATCTCGTGATGCGAGGCAGTCAACAAGACAACGCAAAGTTGGAGTAAAAGAAAATGTAAGAATGTTGTTTGTAAGTTTTAGTTTCTAATTTTAGTATATAATTAATATTACTTTCCAGGAATCTCCAGTATCCAGTTCATCTATATGTGGGACTGATATAGATGCAATCGATACAGAACATACTTTCAATACAACTTCTTTAGATAATGATTTATGGTTAATTATATTAAATTGCCATCAAAGTCAAGATCCACCCAGAGCATTAATTAATGCATCTCGTTCAAACTTAATGCCTATATTGGCTATTTTGGCTACGTGTTATGAAGTATTATTTTATGCTAATTAATAATAGTAAATTTTATTAATTTTTCTTTACGATTAAAAATGTTATATTTATAGCCATCCTCAATAGCAGCATATTGTTATTGTTGGATAGTAATTTCAACAAAAAGAGAAGATATACTTCTTGATTACGAGGAATGTCTGGAACAACAAATATGGCCTTCTGATAAAGTATCAGAATTATTAAATAAAATGATTCAATATGGTTATATTAACACAGTTAATCGAGCTTACAAAATTTTCATGCCTGTAAGTTCAATTAATTAATGATTATCAAAATGGTAGCTAAAAATTCTTTATTGTAATTGATATTAAAATCTTGCAGGATAGCATTTTGAATCTATTCTTTGAATTTATGATGCGAACAATCAGTTACAACGAATTTAAAGATAGTCAGCAATATTTAATGGAGTTTAAGTCACAATGTTCTTCACTTAAATCTAATGTATGTATAGAATTATAATATAAACTTCAAATACATACTAATTTACACAACATTATTTTTGTTACTTTTAAGAAAATCATGGATTGGGACAGCGTCCATTTCACATACTTGAAGAATTTGTACTGGGTTGCATCTGTTGCAACTCGATGCATTGTTACAGCACTCGGTTATGGTTTTCAAAGTACTCCATTGCGAATAAAGTTTCTCGAAACGCTAATAAAGTGTGATTTTTCTGCAGATTTACCAGGTAAAACGCGCACAATTCTATATTAATTAATTCATGTTATCACATAATACTTGCAATAATTTGTAAAATTTATCATATATGTATATTACAGTCGCAGTACCGGATTTTCAATGCTTGTTGGATATAATAAAACTTCTACAAAAAACCGATATAACATTAAATTTTAAAGCTGTTACTATAAGCGACAATGTACATAACTTTGATACAGAGATTCAAAGATGCATTAAGGACTTAATAGTAATCGAGAATTA